CGGCTGGCGCAGGTGGCACCGCTGTGCGGTAGCCACCTTCTAAAGCCGTGGGCGCAGAGGAGCGGAGACGGCTCCAGCTATCTGTGCTCGGCGATGCCTGACCCCTTTTTGTCACCATTGTCTCATGGGATCTTTAAGCATATTTTGGTTAGCAGTTAGTTTCACGTAAAAAAAACAACGATTTTCAAACTTCATCCCGATAAATCGTCAGTAAAATGTCTACTGACATCATAATCGCTCCGTGATTGCGATGAAAGACAGTGTGATGCTGGAGAGCAATGCCGGATACGGCTTTGATCTTACCCGCTGCACTTCAGGTCACCCGGCTTGTTGACATGACGAAGCAGTGTGGAGCTGACCAACGACAAGAAGCAGCGGGCGGACCAGGCGAGGGAGGCCGCCCTCAAACCTGACCCGACGCCGCCCCGGCCCCAGCTGGCCCGGCGGCCAGACGCACCGCGCCCCCAGCTTGCACAGAAGCCAGAGACCGCGCGGCCGCAGCCTGCACAGAAGCCGGAGGCGACGCGACCCCACCCGCACAGAAGCCGGAGAAACACAGCCGTCGCCCGCGCAGAAGCCCGACACGGCGCCACCGCAGCCGTCGCCCGTGCAGAAACCCGACACAGCGCCGCCTCAGCTGCCGCTCGCGCAGAAGCCCGACCGGCACCACCCCAGCGGCGCGGAAGGCGGAGCTGGCCGCGACGCGCGCGGCGCCCTCGCTGAGGTCGGGCGCCTTCAAGCCGGCGGTGTCGCCGGCGGCGCCGGCCGCGGCTCATGCAGAAGTTCATCCGTCGCGGGGCAGGCTACGGCCGGTCAGCGCGTTCTCGACGCCGTCGCCGCGCGAGCCGAGCCCGCCGCGGGCTGGCCGCCCGGCCGCGCGGCTCACCCTGGCCGCCGCGCCGCGCGCCGAACAGCAGGTCAGTCGAGGCCGGGCACGCTGCGGCACGGTCGGGGCTGGCTCAGCAGCGCCGGCTGCACGGGTCGGAGCGTTGGGGAGCTTTCAGCTTAGAAGAGGACAATTTGCACACCGGTTTCCTCTCCTTAAATATAGGCAAGGGGGGGGGGGGGGTAGTAGTATAATCTGTCGGCCACCACAGCTACGTTATATGAGTGTGCGTTTCGTGGTAGGTTGCATCTCTTATGCTAACGGCGGTATATTAGCCCACACCTGTCAACAGTATTGTCTGTCGCCCCGCTGTCATCCTTGAGAGCTACGCGCCTCGTGACCCCGCTCCCCCTGCAGTCTGTAGCGGTGGCACTCCACCCTCCTCCTGAACCTGGGTCGCTGACGGCGAGGACTTTCGTCGCCCCTCAGGCGGAGAGGAGGGCTCCTGTACAGGTCCCGAGCCGACGGGTGCTGACGGCAGAGGCCAAGATCCAGCTGGAGCCTGCAGGCCATGAAGGAGCGTGAGGAGGAGCTACGGTAAATGTCTGGCCTGTGGGGGACATGACTGCGTGGAGGTTCTGTTCCGCGAGAGGAGACGATCTTCCCCGGGGGTTAAACCTATCATGAAAGCTGGAGTACTGATTGATGGTGATCATTTTGGGCAATGTTGGCATGCTGATCCCTGTCCATCCCTCCCTCTCTTCTATAGTATCTTGGGCCTGGGGGTATCTTGGGGTTTTACTCAACTCATCAGTATTTTGTACCTTATTTAAAGCTCGGCCCAAAACATCTATACCTGTTAACTGTGGGAGCTGCTGTATGTAGTGGAGAGCTGACCGCCCCCTGTGACGGTGGTGCCATGACACGGGCCTGCTTTTCAGCCGACACCGGAGCCGCATGATGGCCAAGTCCCAGCCGGACCTGCTGGCTGCTCTGGGCGGGCCGACGTCTGAAGACGAGCTGACCGACTCCGCACTGGCCCCGCTGACGCGCACCATGTCCAACCCGAACCTGCTGGACGACGAGCCGGCCGAGGTACGGCGCGGCGCCGCCAGGCGGCAGCACCGCAGGGCTGCGCGCCGCCGGCGACGCTCTCGGCCACGCCGCGTTGTCTGGGTTGTTTTGTTTTGATGAATGACTGGGTCTTTACCATACTGAGCTTGCCCATGGGGTTTGAGTCACATGACGGCTGGTTGAAGTCTTTCAGCAAGTGACATATATTGGCGTGGTGCGTTTACCTACATCTCATGAGCTGGATAGTGTGTGTTACAGCAGCATTGCAAGTGAGGACGGCTACATGTGCATTGTCTGAGGATAGCGTAATTAGCCCTCCTTGTTTCAGACGCCGATCTCATCGGCCAATCGGAGGCGAAGGAGCACTCTGATTGACCAATGGGAGAGTCGGATACAGGGCGCCGAGATCTGAGCCTGAGGCAGGGTATCGTCTGTGATAGAGCTATTGGTGAGTGTCCTGCTGTTATTGTTTACCCAACCACGCATGTAAATTTGCTGCAGTAGCCATCTAAGCATGCACGTCTGGTAAGCTGGCTTGTAGATGCGAATTCTATCATGCAACTCAAACCTTTTATGTTTTTGATGAGGATTTAATAGCCGGCCTCTTCTCTTGAACAATGCTGCGAGGTCAGCAGAGGTTTTATTTCTGAGTATCATAGGCAGCGTGTGCAGATGACCAGCCTGTTTTCATGTACTCAGCTGTGGCCAGGTCTAATCAGTGTTCGCACTCCCGGGTACCGTTAGGCCCGGGGAGCTACCTGCCCTCGCCTAAAACGTGCTCGTCTCTTGTTGACCGTTGGGAGCTGCCTACCCCTACCTAGACGTGCTCGTCTTGTGTTAGCCGTTGGGACCTGTATACCCCCGCCCAGACGTGCTCGTCTCCTGTTGACCTTTGGGAGCCCGCCTACCCCCGCCTGGACGTGATCGTTTCCTGTTGACCGTTGACGGAGCGTTCTGCTGTGGCAGACCTGTGGCTGAGCAGCCGGTCGGCCGCCGCCTGCCCGTCAGCGCGCGGCACCTCCGGCTGTCCTGGCGCCCGCCTGGGGGAACTGCGGCCGCCGAGTCGGTGCCTGCGCATCGCCAGTGTCGCACGGGACGTCGCGATGTCGCCTGGGACGGCTCTGACCCCCGAGACCGCTGCCCCTCTGAGAGTGACGCGCCTTCATCTCTCGAGGCGGGAGAACGGGGGCGTGCTGGGAGTGGGGAGCCTCCTCGGCGGTGCGGAAAGCGTGTGGAGTGCCTGGAGCCGGTGGACAACATGCCGAATCCACGCGCCTAAGCCATGATTGTGGAGTGAGAATGTGGCGTGTTCTGCGGGGATAAACGAGCCCTGTTTACATAAGAATGCATGCTTGGTGCCCAGCTGCCAGTGTTCTTTTGTGTTGCCAAGTTGGTGGGCGTGGAGATAGCAACTCTTGTAGTGCTGTACTCTTTGTCAGAATGATTATACATATGTGGACCTTGCGTTATCTGCATTCAGGATTTAGGTATTGATGCTGCCGTCGGCTTTTGTGAAAAGCCAATAAAGTTCCACGTCAGTGAAGGTAGCGAGTCTGCGGGGAACTAGGTACCCGATTCCTTTTAGTCGCAACGTTGTCCTAATTGCTTATCGTCACGAGTACGTCTGTTGTGTACGTATCGTTCCGGTGGTGATGACACCAGGCAACTGGCCTGTGAAATGTGCTTATGTAGGTCCTGGATCGTGGTACTGGAGCCCGTACGACGCGAGTCGCTGTTTGTCATTCAATATAGCATTCTTGATATCAGCCTTAGAGAAGTATGCCTGCGAACTGCTAAGCTTGTTATCAGTTAGTCTTTTGAGTGTGGCTTCCGGAATAATATATCCTTATACAATGATTAGTTTGCGTAAATACAGCGCAACTACCAAGTAGATATGGGCACTGAATAAACAAGCAGCTGTAGTAGCCTAAAACCCAAATTAACAACAACAACCAGCCAAAAAATGCTGTGAGAGACCCATCAAAATGAAATATCACACAAAACTGAGCTCTAAAATGACCACAATTTGCCATGCGGCTGTCGTGTCCGGGCACCAGCGGACCTCACCGCGCGCCGGGGGCCGCCGACCACCATGACAAGTATACGATACCACGATAAAGCATCGTTCGAAGGGCGCAAGCTACTGTCTGGGATGAGTTAAGAATTTCTGCTGTGTGCTCCGGGTCGCCAACGTTCTACGATTCCTTTGCGTTCCATTTGACGCAATCATTTTGTTTCATGTCCACTTTGACCGCGAATATATCATTGCATTTGATCTACCTTCCGTTGCGTTATAATAATACCATCATGCAAGCTATTATCGATTCATCATTACGTGTTTTCCTTGTTCATATGCAACACAGATTTAAATTATCCATCCATGCTTCAAAACGCAAAGCGGTTGCCACAAGCTGATGCATGTTGCATAAACAATTGAGCTTGCTGCTAATGTATCAGATATTTGTAAAATATGCTGGCTTCGTTGTCCCTTGTGTAACTAGTAATGTCGACAACAGCACCAGCGATCTCAATAATGCGCCATAACCAAGCTCAAAATGAAAGCTCGTGCCACTTGACTGGTAGCACTTACATCGCTTGCCATCGCTCCTGTAATGTTTTTATTTTTTGTGCAGTTACGATACCCGTTGTTTGCATTGCTGAACTGCTGTTTGCATTGCTAGATTGTTGTTTACTTTGCTGTTTGCACTGCTGTTTGCATTGCTGGCCGCTTCCAATGGTCTTTTACAGCAACAAATAACACTGTAAAGTAAGTTACTAAGCTTATGTATTCGGAACACCGGGAGCACTCCTTCCCTCATTGTTGCTTGATCCGCCCCCGACATTTCGTATGGCCCACGCACCCCCCAAATGTGACTAGTTGTGATGTCAAAAGTCATGCTATAACTCACTGCGGCCAAACGTTACAGTGTAACAAGAAACACCAGACCTCACATTTTCCGTTAGCAGCCCACATCGCGTTTTTGGTGCCACCAAACACCGTCACTGATGTTGCCCCTGGATGGCGAAAAAGTTCAACTTCTATCGAATTGTATTTCGATTGCGTTTGGAATAACATATCATTGTAATGTATCCTTGATTGTATTTCATTTCGATTGTATCAACTTGATGGCTAGCAAGGGCACCAAGCTTGAAAAGGCCTTATCTAGTGCTCTCGAACAAAGCGAGCAAGACCTGCCGCGGCGCCGGGTGAACCCACTCCCGCGTGAAAATAGCCTCGGATTAGCATTAGAAGCTTTCGTTGCAGGTGGACGGGCTCCAGACGTTCCCCTAGCGACTGTTGTCCCTGGGGACCAGCTTCAGCGGCATCTTCTTGCCCTGAGGCGTCAGGATGAACCTCTTCCTGTCCAGCGGCATGGGCGGCGGAGGCAGGCCCTCCGTCGGCAGCAGCGTCGCCTCCCTAAGCAGTGCAGCCAGCGCCACCTTTGCTTCGAACAGTGCAAACCGCTTGGCGATACAGTTGCGTGGCCCGCTGCCAAACGGCAGGTAGACGCATGGATGGCGCTTCTCCTTCTCCTCGGGCAGGAAGCGGTCCGGGTCGAAGCGCAACGGGTCCGGATAATGGTCCGGGTCGCGGTGGATGGAAAACACCGACATTTGCACCACCATGCCCTTCGGGAGGTGCACGTTCGTGCCCGGCAGCGTGTAGTCCTTGGTCGCCATGCGCTCGATGCGCGTGGCCGGCGGGTAGAGGCGCAGCGCCTCCAGCAGGACCCGGTCCAGGTACGTCATCTCCATCACGGCTTCGTACGTCATGTGGCCGCCGTGTTTGGCCAGGGCATCGTCCACGTCCTGTTGTGCCCGCTGCTGCGCATCAGGACTGGTGGCCAGGCTGTAGGCGGCGAACGTCAGCGCCGTTGCTGTCGTGTCGTACCCCGCGATCAGGAACAGCACCGACTGGCTCAGAATGCTGTGGTTGCTGAGCACGCGGTTTCCGTCTTTGTCCTTGGTCTCCAGCAGGAGATTCAGGAAGTCTTTCACGGTGCTGGAGTGCTCCTCTCGGTGCCTGATAGTTTCATTCACGACGTCAGCAAGGAAGGAGAGCGCGCCTGCCAACGGATCGGGAAGTTTTAAAGCGAGGCGCCTCGGTAACAGCAGACTAAAAACGACGCGTAAAATACCCAGCAGGCTGGGCTGGGTCAACTTGGCCGCCTCCACCACAAACCTGGAGTTGGGGTCGACGAAAGAGTTGCAGTTTACGCCAAACGCACAGGATGCAATGTTGTCCATGGTGAAGCGGCCGAACGCGTCCTTTATTTCCACCTCGCCCTGCCGCTTCATCTCCTCCAGGGCGTACTTGGCAAGATTGTGGGCGTTGTTTAACGTCAGCTCGTGCATCGCTTTCAACTTGCTGGCAGAGAAGGTGGGTGACATGACGGCCCTTGTCTCCTTCCACTGCGCCCCTTTCTTCGAGGTCAGCGCCTCCTCCAGGTGCTTGTGGTTGTTCACACCTCGCCGGTCGGTAAAGCACTCGAAGTCTTTGATAGTGATGGCCCGGATCAGGTCCGGATCACCGACGAAGAGCACCGGCCTTTTCATCTCCATGTAGCCGCAGTACTTTTTACCGCCGTGCTTGTAATAGAGCCATTGCTCCAGCTCGTACAGAGGCTTGGCGAAAGGTATCCCGAATTCGTTGCCCCAGGGTAGCTTTGGCTTTGGTCCGGGCACACCACGCGAGGGCCAGAAGTCGAAGTCCTTGGTATATTGGAAGTAAAAGTAGGCGACTGCGGCCGCCAGCACCGCCAGCGGGAGCGGCGACAGCAGCCAGCGCGCCAGCGTCAGCGGCACAGACAACAGCCAGCCGAACATGGTGCCGCCTCTGCCGCACCTGCTGCCGTCACATAGAACCCCTTCAGAATCCCTGTGCGGTGCGAGGAAGGGCTCTTCGGTTGTGTGCAGCTCCGCAGTACGGTGAATTATTTGCGATGGACCGTCGTAGGCAAGATGAGCACCTGCAGCTGTACCCAACTCGCTCCGCACTTGCCCTCCGCCCAGCGCCGACTGACACGCCTTTTTGACCGATGCACGGTGCGTTAGATAAGTCCTTATCAACCGAGTTGGTGACCCTGAACCATCTCTCAGGCTTGTCCGTCTGTCTCCATCCACTTGCGCTGTTTTGTGCGGTTGATAAATGACCTTATCTGGCTTAGACTTCTGGCTTGAAGATTACTCAGGTCAGAAATGATAGCGTGACAGACTGTTGGCCAGGGGCATCGCTTAATGCATTCTCGGAGGGGTTTGATGCCTTCAATACTGTCTTGAGTCCTCCGCAATGCTCCTCTTAGCGCCCTAAATGCATATGAACAAAAAGGGTATACGGGGCTAAAATATGGAAAATTGTAATATCTATAGGTACAATAGATAAGCAACCACACAGACCACTATTGGTCTCATGTCTATTTTCAACCAAATAGCGTCCTGTGGGCGCCTGAGGTTTTTCTCATGCCAATTTTGTCATGTACTAAACCAGGCCGCAAGCATGTTTGGTAAGCAGTTCCCGTGATTACACCTAAATTGTAGAAACACCTAGATAAAGGGCAATTTTAGTTTTAGCAGGCAGATTTTAGCAGGCAGGGGCTGCGTGCCACCGACAGGCGGAGCTGGCAGGTCAAGAGCTTCCGCCGATGTCGCCCGGGCGCGGAGCTGGCAGGTCAAGAGCTTCCGCCGATGTCGCCCGGGTGGCACCCTGACATACACTGATGGCTACTGCGGTCGCTGATGGTGTTTTGCCGTTCGATTGGCAGTCAAATACCACCCGTCACGGGGGCCCAGATAAAATCGGCCTCACGGTTCCCTCAACAGCGGTAAGCGCATTTGTCGCAGAGTCATGACTGGTGGTACTTGACTGCCAATTGAATGGCAAAACATGATCAGCGACAGCAGTACTCATCAGTGCTTACACACTCTTCAAATGTTGACAACAGAGGGTGCTCCAGATGGTCCTCAGGCCCTGGCGATCCAAAATGTGCAGCAGCTAAACATGCTGAAGGTAGCTGATTGTCCGGTTGATACCCACGGCGATGCGTCTCATCTCAGGTGTGCAGGTGGCCTAAGCATTTGAAGGTTCGCTGGCTTATCCGCGTGGGCGTAGTTCTTCAGGTTACGGCATGACACGAAGTCCAGGGGCGACAGGTCTGGAGAGCAAGAAGCCACAACAAGGGTAGTCTTAAAGGGAATGTCCCACTTTTGTGTGGAGTTTTAAACTTACATAGCCAACTTTAAGATCATCCGGTGCAGTTCACGGCCCTGCCCTTCTTGAGACCAAAACCGTTCTAGTTTCTGACTTACACGCTCACGAAGATGGCAGACTATTTCGAGGAGACTATGTCAAGGTCTCCTAGGCATCCATGATGCCATAACAACGCTATCCAAAGCCTGCCGGTCCATTAGCCATGCGGCGATCAAAGCCAATAATTGTTAAGTCATTCATATTTGACGTTCGTGAGCACGATTTCCAGATATAACGAAGACGTAATCAAAATAATGACGTATTGACGGGCATATTGACTAGACAGAGAAATTGTGAAGTCTAGAGAGTCTGTTTCCACTTAAAAGTATACCAATAGCTTACATGAGCTTATTTCACAATATCTGATGCCTGCTTAAATATATTGAAATGTGGAACATTTCTTTCAAGGTGATGTGCACTCCAGCGAAATGATTCCCTGACCAGTCCAGCGAAGCCTGTTTCGTGTGCGGTGTCACCACGTCCAGCTGAGGCCTCTCCTCGTCACCACGTCAACCTGAGGCCTCTCCTCGTCACCACGTCCAGCTGAGGCGTCTCCTCGTCTCGATCAATCCCAGAGCGGCAGCCATGTAGCGCTCTGAGGTGTTATTAACAAGGCACTCGCTGTCGTCCTCAAAGAAACATCGCCTGAAATCATTATTTAATGAATGTGAAATCCCTGGAGTTAACATTTCCTTTACCACGCTTTGCCATTGAATGGCCATTCGAATCTCTACCATCGCAGTCTTGATTATGCTGGAAATACTCTTGCCGTTCTTGAATAAAACGCAGCTCGACTTGTATCTGGGCCATCTTGTCTGAAAGGTAGTTTCTCAAAGATACAGCATGTTTATTTTGACTTTCTACTTCTGTGAGAAGCTTTCGCACTGTTAAACCGAAAATATGTTGAAAAATCGGGAGATCTCACTCAGTGCCCTGTGTGTTCGTTCTCACGGAAATTAAGGAATACTGTAGCACGCATGCGTTCGCGACTGCGGGTCAGACAATATACGCACCACTGTTCCTTAATGGCGATCAGAAGATACACACATCAGGAGATCAAGGTGATCAGAAGATATACACACCGCTCTCACCATACCAGAAGATCTCCACGTCGCTTTCACCAGATCAGAAGATATACACACTGCTCAACAAATCAGAAGATATACTCACCCCTCTTACCAGATCAGACGAAATACATACCGCCCTCACCAGATTAGACGATATGCACACCACTCTCACCAGATCAGGAGATTCCGTTTGTGACCGCTTCCCCGTTTGTGACCTAACAACTACCTTCTTGGTAGCCATTGGGTGTGCGGCATTGTAATGCAGCATGACTGGAGCGGCCCTGGATCATTCCTAACAAGCTTCAGTCCCAACTTTTTGATTGGATGTATTCTGGGATGAGCGGTTGTGATGTAATAGTGATTTGATGAGTGGCCACGCTAAAAAGTGCTAGTTTGGCGAACCCTGGCCCGATCTTAAAATCATGTATCAGCGGCAGAGCTTTGCGGGGAAAGCTTAACGTGGCACAATGCTCGACACGGTTCATCCCGTGTCATAATGTGCCAAAGCGTTGCAGACGCTTTTTCAGACAGTCATTCTGAAGACCCATTCGATAACCAGTCTTCACTTTCTCTATCCTCCCAGTTATCGACGTGCTTGTGGACGCGTAAGTTCAGTTAGTGTCAATGTGCTGGAGAATGCTGCATAGGCTCTCGTCCGTGCGTGTCAAGCCACGCAACTCCATACAAAATTTTGTTGCGTGTAGTGTCACCCTCGATATACTATGGACATCATTTTTCGTTGATCACAATGGCTCCTTGTAAAAGTGTTTTTTATCACACCCCATTTAAGCTTTTCACAGAAATGCAACTTTGCCTGGGCTTTAAACCGTCCTGGGATCGATAACAAAAATTAAGAAGCTTTTTATTTTAACGTTCGGGACGCAAATTAGGCAGGCCGAAATCCAAGGGAATTTCAGGTTCTTTGGGGTGAGTTAGGTCCAGTTTATCGGCTCAGTCCCCTCCAACCGATTTAAGCCATTGACATCCCTACCATCGGCCTGCACTGAAAACAGACAAGCCTTTCTAGAGTTCTCAGAGCCTGTCGATGGTTTGATCTTCTCTCTGCAGAAGGATACACTTAACGGGAGCTTCAGAGTGGATCTTTTTGTCTCAGTCCGTTCTCTTCTCTGCGAGATCCTTAGCATCGACGCAAGTTATCTCGCGTATGAATGCTTCATTATCTCCCTCATCTCCATTGGGAACATGCTGACAATCGAGCATTCTAGAGTGAGATAGCTTAAACTGAAGCCGAGAACCTTGCAAAAAAGGATGTCCCGGGACTAGAAGACCTCTCTAAGGTCCTCACAAAATGCAGCTGCATTGACGTGGGCTGTGTCATGACTACTTGAGCTGTGTTGTTACGCTGATCTCAGTGTTTTTGTTTTTGTCTGGTGGGTGTCGGTTGAGATGGTCCACAGATCACCAGCATAAATATATTTCAATGATGGTATATTGCAAGTTTATCAACACGATGACTGAAAAAAGGTTAAGCCCCCCGGAGTGCTCAGAGACGATGCAGGTGTCGGTTTGGTTTCTGCAGGGAGCCACATTTTACGAGGACTTTAGGGGAGGGGGGGCAGGTTCTTTTGGTACAGGAATGTTCTTTTTTGCAAGGTTCTCGGCGTCAGTGTATGTTATCTCCCTCAAGAATGCTCGATTGTCTACATGTTTCAATTTGTCAATCAAGAAAATAGTCAAGCCTTCTCGCGTGAGATTATTTGCGTCGACGCAGAGAACCTTGTGAAAAAAGAAGGACCCGAGACAAAAGGACTCTCTGAAGTTCTCGTAGTGGGGCTTTCCGCAGACAAGATCAACCCCTCGATAGCCACTGACAACTCCCGGTGGGCTCGCCTGTTTTTTTCGTGCGCTTTGTCCAACTGATGCAGTATCTGTATGGGCGCGGTCATGCGATACCGATATCAGCTGATGATGGAGCACTGCACCGCCTTGTAATGCGCGCCAGCCCTTGGAGTGGGGGTGCGCACGGGTCTGGGCCTTGTTTTTTTTTAAAACTAGAATACAAACATGCGCACTTATTACTTGCATTGCCCATGTGCACGAGGCCGAAACAAGCTGATCTGAATAGGCCTCTCGCTTCTTAGATGATTGAGAAATAGGACACGCTGGTTAGACAAAATGTTGTTTTGATATATGAGTCTATGCGATGGAAGGCAAAGCTGCGTGGTTTTTACAGGGGTGTTTCGGAGTAAGCTATATATGGCAGTTGGAGCAGAAAAACGCAAGTTTTGGGAAAAGGTGCAAGGTCAGTGACCCTCTTCTAAGGCAGCGCAGTATCACAGTCTTGCTCAGGGCAGCGTCTCATCTCTAGACCCTTTCCCGTAATGATAAATGTTTTCAATAACATCAATAATATTTCTTAACACTGTTGACATTCTCTTCATGAGGATAAGCTAGCTGTGTGGTATACGCATGCTAATGGCAATCCGGCAATGCATTATATCTGTCTTGCTACAAATGATATCCACGCGTGGTGCACGTGGTGGGGACCGCAGGTTTCCCTAGCAAAGTCAGCGGCGGTTATCTTCATTAAACAAAATAATGTTCAGCCTGCCACCCCATTAAACCTCAACAGTGAAATGCTCCCACGTGTTCACAGCTTTAAATACACTGGCATAACATTAGATCGCATTTTTACTTATAATGCTTATTTTGCCCACCTTAAAGCAACGCTGCGCCAGACGACTGGACATAATGAAATGCACGGCAGGACTGGAGTATGGCGCCGACAGACGCACTCCTTTCCGCCTCTATACCTCCCTGCTGTGCCCGATCGTGGACTACAATGGCTTCTTTTTTATATGTCTTCCAAAAAGATCAAAACCATGGAAACCATCCATAGGGCTGCCCTCCGCATAGTGACTGGTGCACTTCACACCTCCCCGGTCCCAAATCTGTTCGCGGACACAAGCCTCTTCTCCCTATCTCACCGAGGAAAAATGTAACTTTCCAAATTTTACGCGCACGCCATGGCGCACGTTGGTAACTTTTCATACAACATTTTCGCGCACCTCCGCCCCATCCGCACACTTACCAACGTAGAACTTCGGTACCCACCCATCAGCACCCGCGTTATTCGAGCGCAACCAGCCCTTAATCTCCCGCAAATTCCCCGCAGCGTAGCTCCCAGGCCGCAACCCTTTTGTGACGACCCTGCACCGAACGTAATCCTGCTTAAACACAAGAACAAAAGTATCAGGAACCGAAGAATCTGGATCAGCAGTCGCTCTTCCCCACGTTCCACAGACTTTAGATGATCATAATGGCGGAGATACCACTACCGAAATATACCTAGCCTTTTGATCCTACACCCTTTACCTTACTCACAACTGATGGTAATGAAAGCCTCCCCTCCCCCCCCCCCCTAACGTGCCTGAAGTATTCCTGGCATTCCCCGCTTTTCGGTACCGTCATGAATACCATATCTTCCTCTTGGAATTACTTTTAATTTCCGCTCTGCTGGCTTCTAAACATCTCTTAACCTCCCCTTCTTCTTCTTCTTTTCCTGCCAATCACCTGCTTGTGAGCCCTGCTGAGGTTTTGGGCGACATCTCTTGCCGAACCTCCCTCTGCAGCAGCGTGGCCAGCATCCTACCACCCAATGGAGCCACCTCTGGAATGCGTAGGTGACGACCATACTACAGATAAAACGGCGACCAGCCTGTTATGGTGTGGGGATACTCATGTGTTGGAAACGAGCAAAATCTACATACTTGTCCCAGCTTCCACCAAATCCTTGTGTGTTCCTTCGCAGCAAAGACCCGGTCGTTTGAATGACGCGTTCAACTGCTCCACTTGGCTGCGGAAGAAAGGCGCTTGCCCGTCTTTGTCAAACCCCATCGATCTCGCTAATGCAATGAGGCTCCGATTATCGAATTCTAGATCTTGATCGGTGAGGAGCGACTCAGGAAGTCCATACCTGTAGACGACTACGTCATCAAGTGCCCAAGCTACGGTTTCAGCTGTCTTCTCAGGAACTGCTGCCAGCTCTAGGCTTTGGGTCAGCGAGTCCAGGGCCAAAAGAACGTAACGATTTCTCCTTTCTGTTGGTCTTCGGTCGGACGGTCCCATCAGATCTACGACAACGTGCTGCCACGGAGCTACTGGCTGAGTAGTTGTATCCAGTGGAACTTTCAAACGACGCCGGGGTTCGTTGAAGGGGGCACAAACCCAACAACCGCAGCAAGAGTTCCTTACATTTGGATCCATCCCTGTCCACTTGTACCCCGCTCACAGACTCAAAACACGGGTCGTGTTCGCAACGAAACGACCGGGCCTGTCGCGCTTGAGGTCGAGTACCTGAGCGATCAGCCGTTGTGGAACCAGCAGGTCCTTTTCCTCTTGTCCTTTTCTTTTCTTCGTAGATGGAGACCGTGCTGGCAATTGATCTCCGGTGCCAAGCCTTGTCGGCGTGTTGCCTCGGCGTGTTGCCTTACGTGCTGTTCAGAAGCTCCTGATACAAGTCTCGCAGAGGCTTGCCCGTCTGCTGCGCGACCTCTAACCCATCGACGTTCAGCTCCTCCGCAGTGTGAGACGTGACGTCGGCAGTGACGGGGTCCGTCGCAGTCCGAGTCGCATGAACATGCACCCGCATGCGGGGCGGTTATCAGCACCTCGCCGGCAATCGGTAAGGAACTGGAACTCCTTCAACTCCTCGATCCATTTGGCATCAGGTCCCTTGGAATCCCTGGTGTTTCGTAGCTGCTGAAGACCGCAATAGTCCGTAAACCACTGGAATGGTTTGCCGAGCAGATAGACAGAAAACTTCCGAAAAGTGAAAATAAACGCAAAAACCTCCTTGGCCAGGATGTGCCAATTTTTACGCTGTCCGAAAACGTTTTCAAATCAAGACAAACAGGCCTGTCGACTTCGTCAGCGTACCTTTGCGAAAGCACGCATTCCAAACCGGTGTCCGATGCATCTGTACAAACCCCGAAGCCATTCTGCATGTTAGGAATGTGTATGGTCGTGGCCTCGCAGGGAGCTTGCTTTTTCGCTTTTGGTCTTCGCACACACACACACACACACGCAAACGGCTTTCGCACACCTGGTCTCGATGATCGTTGCGCGAGAAACGGACCTTGCCAGAAATTTCATGTAAGGGCGCAGCTAGGAGCTGCAGGTCATGTGCAAATTTGCTATAGTAGGAATACACGCTCGCAAATTGACGAGCCTGCTTCGTTGTTTCCGGTCGAGGGCAGCTTCTGATTGCCTCCACCTTATCAGGGTCGGAGTCCAGTCCGAGGGTTGAAGGCGACGACAGGGCACTACCATCGAGCTTTTCACTGTTAATCCTCCTTGCCAAGGTCTCTATGGGACAGATTGCAGCAGATATACAAGTTCTGACACAGTCTTTCCACCCACGATGATGTCATCTAAATAAGCTGTCCCTCCGTTGCACAGCAGACCGCGTAACACCTCAGAGATCCGGCGTGAGAAGCACCCACGGGCGCCCTTGGCACCGAACGACATGACCAGGAATTCCCATCGTTTATCTTCAGTAGTAAACGCGGGTTTTAGCCCATCATCCAGAGCTACAGTGACTTGCCAGCATGCAGAGTTCAAATACAGAGTTATGAACATCTGCAAGCCCGCTTAACCCCCCAAACACTCTGACCGTCGTGAGGCATGTGACATCATCTACTGTGTGCCGATTGAGGCCTCTGCGATCTATGCGAAAATCTGCTGCGAAACGATAGAACCCATCCGACTTTTTGACTACCGAGATTGACGCAGATCACGGCGAGCTGGACGGCAAGATGTTTCACGAGTCTCCATTTCAGCGATCTGTCTCCTGACCTCGAGACTCAAGTGATACGGAATCCGTATCAATCCGCTCGGACTGTCATAGCAGAGCAATGTCCAGTGTTGATGGTGAACTGGACCAGAGGCAAACAACCCAACTCATCGTCGCTGTTTTCGAAAACATCCCGATAGTTGTCGAGCAGTTTCCCAAGAGCTAATCGATCCAGCTCGCCCGCTTCGGTGCTCAACAGATGAGCCTGAACCGGGCCATCCCTGTGAGGGCGTTTCCTGCCGGCAGCTGCGCTTCCCGGCCGTCACGCACTTCTCCCAAAGCCGAGTTAGCGTAGAGCTTGACCGGCTCTGTACTGACGTTCTTCACCAGGATCGGCATCCCGCTGCCGACATCGCAACGTGCAAAACAAGAAGAGAAAGCAGCCCCACGTCGTTCTGCTTTGGAAATATCAGGCTCAAGCACCACGTCCGTACGTTTGCCACGAAATCTTCTGTTCTGACATCTACCACCCGCTCCGAGAAGGGATCCAACATGGAGTCAAAAGCCAGCTGCACGATTACCGGCTGTGCTGGTGTCCCACCCCGCTCTCCCTCCAACCGGACACAACAGTCCCCAATACGCAGAGCCTGTCTTGAGAAATCGATGCTGAAAGTTCTGAGTTTTGCCAGGCCATCGGTGCCAAGTATCGCTGGAGCAGACACGTTTTCTACCACTAGTACACGAACGTGACTGAGCGCTGCTGGCTCAATCAGAATGTCCGCCGAAATCTGGGCCACGCATTGCAGTTCCATGGCCTTCAATCCAATAGAATGCTGTTTTGTGGGCACCCGTGGCGAATGCGTATCGCTGGTAAAGTCGCTGAAACACACGTAGCTACCACTCCGGTGTCCACTAGCCACGCGCAGTTTAGCTTGCCAATGCGTCCCCTCATATGTAATGAGCGAACTGCCGGGTGGTTAACTGACTGAATGGCCGAGCTGGGTCCCTTGTGCGCGCTGATTTGGTCTCGGTTGCCACCTGTCCCTCGGCAGCAACCCGTTTTACTTTAAACCCATCGGGCAGTCATACTGGGCATGGTCCAAAGTTGTAGCACCTTCAGCAGACTGTTGGTACCGGCCGATCTCGGCCCCGCCCTAACAGAGCAAGAGTACAGTCCCACTGCGTATGTTCCGGTGAGCAACAGGTCCAACACTCCGTGGTGAGCAACAGGTCCGAAGAGAACAGCGGTCCGTCGGGCCGAGTCGCGTGAACCACGCGCGACAATTCAGGGACCTCGGCCCGCAGCTGAGCAAGCTCACCGTCCTCACTTGCGACGTTTTGAACGGGGTTGGATTGCAATGCCTACAATGAAATAGTTTCGTCGAAACATTTAGCATGGTTCGGCAGTTTTTCGAATGCTATGTCTGGGAGCAAGAGACGGATTTGAAATGCTACCGCGGGGCTGATGCCCCTAAGAAACGCTGGTGAGCAATGCAGCTGCTACTGGAGAGGCAGGATCCGTACCCGGATGTGCGCCACGGAACAGCGTGCGCAAACTCGCAAGGAATATACCGTGCGTTTCTTCTGAACGTCTACGGCGTCTCTCAGAATTGTCCTGGTACCATTTCGAAGAAATGCCGAACTCCTGTTGAAATACTGCCTTCAAGCTCTGCACGTTCTTGGTGTTCTATTCCAGTGACGAGTCCATGACACTTACCTGTGAGCTGAGCACCAGTGTCTTCTTCCCTATCTTCCCACCGTAGTGAGGAGATGGAGAGGACGATCCATTCCATATGTCACGCTCCATCGCAGCACCGAACCGCTGGCCAACAGTGTGATCTTGCTCACTCACCAACAATCACTTTACAATCGACTGCCGTGCCGTCTCGCCAGGTCGCGCGGTCAAGGTCGATCAAGGTCGAACTACCGCGCAGAGGCACTCCCAGCGAGGCGACGAGTGCGCCTCATCACACATATCACACGATCATCACTCATTTCACCCATTTGAGTGTTCCGTCCCATTTCCACTCATTTAAATTAATTCTATTCTGATTGTGTTCAGTCAATTTTTGTGAAAAATGCCTATCGATCCTCTACCGCTACCTGTACTGGCACGACGTACATTCTTACGCTATTTTAATTCCCACTTGCGCCGACGAAGCCTATGTCCGAAACGCGAGGCGCTTCGTTGTGGAACGCGCACTACTCATTAACTAGTCACCGTCACTCACCTTTTCATGGCTACTCTTGGCAGTCCAAATCTCGTCTTATCTATCCAACGTCGCATTCCACACAATGAGAAACAAGTGCCCCACACCAACCTAACGCACTCGCAAACACTCGCTGACAAACGTGCTGACGAAGACTACGGAGCGAACGCGGCCTGGGCAAAAGACGTTCGGCCAAACTCAGTTTGTTCATTTCTGCGCCCCCGCCCAGTGCCCACATTCGATGCCCATAGGCGCCGTAATTCCTACCGAGCACTGAAGCCATTAGTTTTTTTCAGTTTGTTTCTCGAGGAAAGTGTATTCGGTCAGCGCGCCAGGCGTCTCCAGTCTTTCCACTCTCGGAAAAAGACCTCTACCTTTCAAAACTTATTAATTTGGTATCCCTTCAAATCATTTCGCGGTAAGCGCGCCACTAACGAATTCATGCATATTGTTTTGGCTAAGACGATGTTTTCGTTACAAGAAACGCAAGCTTGGTCCAGAGCGGAGTAGTGACCTGTTTAAGCATCATTAAAGGTGCAATAGGTGCCTTTTATGCCGTACGTATATTGTGCTGTATCCAGTTGATGACCATGCTCTGTAAGGACTGGTAGCGGCAGTTGTAATTTGTTGTCTTGTATGTTACTACTTGTCATAAATCGTGGGCAAGTGTGCAAGTGGCGTAATGGTGTTGGACGATGAGAAATGTCTTGATTCCATATTAATTGAAATATTCTGAAGCCAGTTCTACAGCCAGTTTCCTGTAGACTTCATAGCACTCATTTGGATTATGCGCATATGTGCATACATGGCATTGAGGTTGGAAGTTACATGCCATAATCACTTGTTTATCAGTACTTTTGCCCAAAATAAACATAAAAATATCACAATTCCTTAACACTTTTGGTTGTATCAGATGACATTGGTGTTGACCATGGTATAATCTCTGAGAACTCAGATTACAATTCCCATGCACTGACATTGTTGCAGTTGTTTTGCTGCTTTGCCAGTCATGTTTGGTGTAATGTGTATGTTTTCCTGTCAGGTATGTTGGCATGCATACACCAACCCATATTCATGCCAACAGGACCATTACTCATTTAAGCATGTTTCACAACATCTTTGCCAGAACTTCAGTGCCATCATGGCACTATTTGCTCTTTGTTGTAACTGCCATCCACTGGTGCTGGGGGACAGCCAAAGGGACTCCTAAGGCCATGCCCTCCACCTGAGTTAAGAGGATTAAATGCTAGGCAATTTCACTGACATCACCAAAATTCACCAGGCTTTGGAGAAAATTGTGCATTCTGCAGGTATCTTCTCTTAGTCATTAGAAGGTGAATGACCTTGGTTGGCATTCTGTGCACAACCAACAGCAAACATGATCAGATGCCTGAGCCAGTTTTTTGCCTCACGCATTCCAGTACCATGTTTCAAACTATGTTTCTAAAGCAATCTGTAGTGCTGTGTGTAAGCACTGTGTAAGTGCTGTACCATGTTTTTCATTTGATTTAGGTCATTAAGATGTTGGTTCCAGTTCTATGTAACATGCTAACTGTCCTAAAAGAGAGGATCTTTAAAATGGTGTAATAAATGCACTCATTCCAGGAAAATGATATTTTCTAGAGCCGAGTTTGGCGTGCATCGCCCCAGGCATGCGGTACTCCTTTAGTTGCTTGCTTCACTCTTGTTTAAGTATGGATTGGTGTTTTCATCTATAGTTTTCTGCCCTAGAAGTATGTTGAATTCTGCACAGGCCTCACTGGGCGCAAATGACCACTGCAGTCAATGTGCCCGAAAAACACCAATGAACGACAACTGCACAGGCCTCCAATCCTGCTTAGTTATTTTTGCTAGCCTGACCTCTTTTGAGTCATGAGAGCATACATTCACAATGTGAACCAAGTTTTTATGTGATGCAGTAGCAGGATCTCCAACAAAGCCTCAGCCAGCCAGCTGGCATTAGCGTCCTGTTTCCGTCTGTTGCCAGTGGCAGCCATGGGCTGGCCAGGCATGGTGGAGCTTCGCCTTCACGGAGGTGCGCGACCGGCTCGACCTGCTGGGCTACCGGCAGCCGCTCAGCCTGGAGTCGCTGCCACTTGGCCGAGAAGTTGCTGGCCGACCTGCTGCAAACACCGACAGCCTCAGGCGCCAAGCACGGCCTGGAGACTGCCACCAGGGTGAGATGGGGCTCGCAGCACTGTGGGAGTTGCAGCGTCTATTGGCTCAGGGGAGTTTGCTCAGAGGTCATGTTGATGGAATCTTGATGGCTTGATACACTTGACCGGGCTACTCGCAATTACTGCGTCGAAATGTACGCTGCTGCGCGGTACGCCCATGCCCGTCTGCGTTGCGCTGAAGCTGGTGCACGTGGCACGCAGCCGTTACGCGTGTTTGGAGGGTGTGGGTAGACTGCACCGGGCCCAGGTGGTTCACCCCCGCCCCGCGCCTGGGGAGGACCGCCCGCTGACGCGCTGAGGGCGTCGGCAGGAGGACGCTGAGGGCCGGGTCTGCGTCGAGCCGTACCGGCAGGACAACGCCCGACTGTGCCAGGAGCTGAGCGCGCTCCACCAGGAGATCATCAAGAGTCAGGAGCAGCATCAGACGCGCACCAAAGGTTAGCCAACGCCGCGGCGCTGGTCAGCCCAAACAGTCGTGTACCTTACAGGCGCGTATCAGTGTTGGCGCACTCGCGAGGCTTCCGCCTCATACAAAGCTGCATCGCTATGACATGTCTTGGCGCCCATGTGCCAGAGAGACGGGTCATGAAGGCACAGTAAATTATCGCTGGCTTTGATGAGTCCCGTTCAGCTGTGGTGCTCTGCCCGGCGCGGTGGCCAGTGTCTGTCGGTTGCCGGCGCTGTGTGCGGACGGCCGACCGTCGCTGATCAGCGTCGCCTCCCGGCCGCCGCCAGAGCTGAGGGCCGACATCCGGCGGCTGAGCGCCGAGAACGAGGACCTGCGCTTCCTGGCCGGCCAGTACCGGAAGCAGGCCGAGGCAGCCGAGCAGCGCCTGTTCCGGCTGCTGGAGCAGCAGGAACAGCCGCAGGCTTCCGTCACCGTCACAGGTGCGTACCGGCTCCTGCAGATGTGGCACGACCACCCGGCAGGTCGGCAGGGCAGCAGCGCCTGCCCGCTGGAGCCCTGACCCGGACTGTCAGCCTGATGTCCAGCTGACAGGGTGGGCAGGGTAGCACCTGCCCGCTGGAGCCCTGACCCGGCCCTGTCAGCCTGGTGTCCAGCTGACAGGGTGGGCAGGGTAGCGCATGCCCACTGGGGCCCTGATCCAGCCCTGTCAGCCTGGTGTCCAGCTGACAGGGCTCCAGGCTGGCTCCAGGCTCACAGGTATGTGGGGGCTAATTGAGTTGATAGGTTGTGCTGAAAGCAACAGCTGTTGGCTGTAGAGCCTTGGTGCAGAGATACAACGATGTTTTTAGTTATATGGATATATATATATATATATATATATATATATATATATATATATATATCATCACGCCACATCAACGCAGCTGGGGGGAATCTATGGAAGTGTTGCATCACCTTTGTCCTTATATCACCGCCAGCTCATTTCCTAGTAAACTTTCCTGTCAGGTTGGCCTGTCCATTGGTTGCCCAAACGTTTTCCGTAACATTCGTTTCTCTTCACCTGTAATGAGCTGCTGTAGTGCCACCGGCCTGTCAGCTGTTTCCGCTCATTTCATTGCCCTGGCGCATAGGCGCGCCTGAGACTGGCTGCCAGTCACACGTGATCAGGCTTCCTCACCGGCCAGCTGGTCACCAACGAACAGCCATCGCCCTCACTTTGTCACACGTATAGTAAACAATGAAATGGGCGTAGTGCAGTCAGGTACGGGAGGAAGCCGGCTTTGGCTTAAACTTTGGCATTAGTTTCGGCTTTGAACGGGTTTTTAATCAGCTTTAAGTTCAGCTTTACGCGATCTTGAACTGAACTTCAGCTTGTCGTGGTGGTTTTTCTCTTTGCACTGATGACTTTTCTTCGTAGAAACAGTCTTGCCCGTCTTATTACCCGATATAACACATACTTTTCGAGTCTGTGACGGATGCATGGGTGAAAGCCAAAACCAACCGGCCAGTTTCGTTGGTGATTAACACGGCTGGGGAACTAACTGTTCGAAATGTTGGACACATTGTAAAATCCAAAACAAGGACGATGGTCCGAAAAATTTTCATCCGTGTTTGTAATATCCCGCCTCAATCACCCCGTGAAATCCTGATGCACTTTTCCGATATCATACAGTTCTAGCAGACACGGACGTGGACAACTTTCATTTGTCAAAGCAGCGTTGTACAGTTGATAAGGCTTCTGCCTCGGCCTCGTGATCTCAAACAAATTGGTTCGGCTTTGGCTTTGTGTTTACTAGGTTCGAAGCCGCTGATCTCGGCTTTGGCTTCACGTGTTTAGGTTTGAAATCTGACTTCGGCTTCGTAGTTGAAGTTTCAAAGCCACCGGCTTCGACTTCGACTTCATCTTATTGCCCGCTTCGAATTCGGCCTCGAAACCAGAATCCTGGCTTATTTTCCATGCCTGGGCGCAACTGGCACACACCAGCATTGGCTGGCCCGTTCCCGTGTTGACCTGTTGCCGTAAGTAGTCGTGTAATACTGACAGTGGCGCCCAAGTCCCTGGGGCTGGGGGAAGGCAACGGGGGGGGGGGGGGGGGGGGGGGCAGTGGGACATACTGAGAGAGGGAATGTGTGATTTTCATGATATTTCATTATGGATGTCATGTGTTAACTGCGATAGGGTGAGTACTGAATGTTGTAAAAGTTCGGAACACCTGGCCCTCTTACCCACCACGTGGCGCCACCGCGCCTACCAGAATCTCGAACTCCCATCGCGGTGGCCGAACGCCTCATCAGGGCGGTGTGCGTTCCCAGCCCCGCGGCGCCCCTCCCCTGCCCCGCCCCGGCCCCATATCGACGAAACACGCGCTCGGCCGGGCCGGGCTGTGCGCCGGCGGGCGGCGGACATTCCGAAACACAGCGGCTGGGGCGGCCGGCGGGGCGTCGCCGCTCGTCCGGAAATGAAACGCTTCGATCGGCCGTCAAATCCGCCCGATGCGCCGGATCAGCCTAACGTACGCGGAGGGCGGCGTGAAAGGGGAGCGGAAGGCGTGAAACGGCGCGGGTGTGTTGTGATGCGAGCACGCACGCTCCAATGGCGGAGCTGCGTGGCAAGGGTGCGCGGTGAGAAGCTGCGGCCGGGCTTCGGCAGCATCAGCCAGGTCGGCTGAAGGGCTGCCTGCTGTTTTGGGAAGCCGTGGACCGGTTATCTCAAACGGCTGCGGTATCGGCGGCTCCTCGCGTGTCGGCGTCCGCCACGCGCCGCTGATTGCCGCGCGCGTGCACGGACGTGATGGTGATCGGCTGCCTCGTGCGGTGTCCCGGCCGGGGTTCACCTGCTCAGGCCGGCTGGTTTCGGGGCTGTGTTACGCTGAACCGCTGACGGGTGCAACAAGCTGGGGCCCAGTTAGTTAGTGGTCCGGACTCACCTGAGTAACGTGGCACACCATGTGTCAAACAACGCATCATACTTAAGTGGGTTCGTAACTCAAACGTCTCCCAAGCATTATCATTATGGTCGTTCTCGCTGTTTTGATTTAAGCAACACAATTTACATGCTTCCTCGTAAGGAAGCCATCCATCAACGAATATGTGCTGAGACGCCCAAGGGGTGGGCGGTGATATGAGGTTTTGTACTACACATCGGTGGTACCCACTACGCACTGAATGAATAGCAAATTCGTGACAAATCACCTTTTCTGGCCGGACGTTGACCCTTGCCTTACGGCTCGGTAGTGTTCTTTCCACACTAGCCACTGTCATGGGCGTGTAGTCCGAATTCATTTGAGAAAGTAGGCGCAACATGTTCCATTTTCTCCAGTGCCCATTCTCCAGAATCACGTGGTAGGTGGGTAGAACCTGTGGATAAGGCAGCGGCAGTTCACCTGTTCCACCGTAAACACGGCGGCGGCGCGCGTTGCGACGCGCCGCGATCAGCGGCGCCCACACCGCTATCGAGCGGCGCCGCGGCCCCATCGACCCTGCCGTGCACGCCCCCCAGCCGGCTGGCGCTGACGCGGCGCACGTGCTGCAGGCGAGCGGCGGCCGCGGCCGGGCCGCCGGCAGCGGCTGGACCTCAGCCGCCAGCTGTCGGCCGGCTCTGAGAGCGGCGCCGGGCCGACCGGCCGCGCCCCGCAGGTGAGGCGCCCGCAGCCGGAGCTGGAGCTGTGTGGCGGCGGCAGTGGTGGGATCGGGCGGTGAGACGGGGCGCGCCGACGCTGGGCCAGGCCTCGGTGGTGCTTGGCCGCGTGCCGTGGTGAGTGTGTACCCTCCTTACACGTGTGCCGCGTACCCTGGTGGTGCTTCAAAGTTAACGTGGTGCTGGAGCGAACAGTCCATGACTGTAAATGATTTGCGATCTTGTGACAACGTATACATATCGTGGGGATAGTTCTTTATAGATAGCTAGCCTTTCATCGCCGATGTTTTGGCTTCGTGACCACGTGAAAATGGAAGCTCATTGTGTTGAGCGTGGACTCGCATACCACAACCCAAACTATGTTGGCCATGACTTCCCTCCCATTTCCTGGGGACCCTCGCCGCCCGTTCCTCGCACTCGTTCCCCCCGCCGCCGCCGCCTGACCTCGGGCCGTGGGCCAGGTCTGTGACCCGCAGACGGTGGACCTGGTGTCGGCGGCCGAGCAGCGCGTGGCCGAGCTCGAGCGGCAGCGCCAGGCGGTCGAGGAGGCGCGCCACGACGCCGAGCTCGCCGCCCAGCAGCTGCGCGACAAGGTGGGTCCGTACAGAAGGTCCGGCTGGGCTCCGCTCACTACCCGGTACGGGCGGCCCGCCACGGCCGCCAGCCTGTCACCCAGGCGGCGAGACTAGGTGCGAGGACATTGACCTGACGCGTGATAGGGGAATGGCCACTTGGGCGATGAATCCGATGGGGGAATGGCCAGTTGGGCGATGAATCTGATAGGAGAATGACCACTTGGGCGATGAATCCGATAGGGGAATGACCATTTGGGCGATGAATCCGATAGGGGAATGACCACTTGAGCGCAGAATCCGTCGCTGACGAGAGTGTGTCATTGCACTGGAAGTTCGACCTTTACGTTGGGTAACCTCTGCCGACAGGAATGGTTGTCATGCCCTCACCGCATGATCATTGGCGACTCATGGCACGCGTGCGTTGTAAACTGCGGATGATGGCGACTTTGCTTCCCGATAACGCTATGATGCTCTCTTAGGCCTTGGGCAAGGCAGCGGAGACCCATGCTCTGGGCGGCTCTGCGCGGCTTTGAGCGCGTTGCTGAATTGAGTGTTACATCGGGAGTGCTCTTCGATGACAACACAGCCATTTCAACAATGTCCCCGCGTCCAACAATGTCGACAACACTCCTCTCGGAGCGCCGACCGCAGTCGGGTGCGGTTGTGAGGGAGCGAGCCAGCTGATGGACGTCTGTCGCCGCAGGTGAAGAGCCGCGACTCGGAGATCCGCCGGCTGACCGGTCAGCTGGAGGGAGGGCGGCCGTACCGGGCCGTGCTGGCCGACGCCGACACCAAGGAGAACGACATGTCGCGCGCCAACGTGCCCTACACCGAGCTCAAGAAGACCAACGTCCGCCTGGAGAAGCAGCTGAAAGGTACCGCGGTGACCAGACTGTGCGAAAACTTCTGAAGCGAAGTGCCATTAAATGGGGATATTGCATAGAAGTGATACTTCAGGAAGGTATATGAGTAGAATACTGGTAAGGGATTGTACTAACGTAAAGCGCTGGTAACAGAAACAGCTAGGTATACGAAAACGATGGTGTTGTGGCATTTATCACCACTCGCCTTGTGGTGCAGACCGCAGGGCCTGGTAGTCAGCCGGAGTGTGGTTGAGCGCGTGTCACCCAGCCGGCGGCCGGGCGCTTCCCAGAGACGTTGCACAGCCAGCACGAGGCCATGCAGCGGGCCATGCAGCTGGCGCAGAAGAACACCGCCCTCAAGCGCGAGCTGGAGGACCTGGACCGCATCGTGCACGTGCTGGACGAGGACCGGAGCAAGGCGGTGCGCACCAGCCAGCAGCAGCTGAAGCAGGAGCAGGTGAGGCACATGATCGACCCTGCGGAGACGCTCTGCCAGCGCTGGAACCAGGCGTATGGTCTGCTAGTTGGACCTGTATTACTGTTCTTCATTCGGCATGAAGTGGCTGTCTGCGCTAGTTAGTGTACCGTGCCGGTATTGAGCGGTAGCTTGTGTCCGTTAGCTGCACGCGTGAGGTGGCGGGTCTCGAGGCAATGGCGTCCTCCAAATGGTCATTTTCAGTTGATTCTGCCCAATGATCATCTCATTACCTCCAGAGATGGAATCTGCCACACATCTCTCAACAGCTCTCAACGAATTGGGTTTATCCCAGATTCGGCCCAATAACTCCGAATTGGCTCTATCTCAGATTCGTTTAAGCAACTCCCGGCTGAGAGTTGTTCCCGGCTTTCCTCAGTGACTGCCGATCAGCCCCGTCCCCAGTGTTCCTCGATAACTCTTAATGACTGACTTCCAGACCCGCCTGACCCACACCCGAGGTGACCCGGACTGACACCGGTCTCAGTAACTCCCTTGATGGCATATTTCACCCCAGATGCGTCACAACAAAACTGTGTCAACCCTGTCCCGGTTGTCCTCAACAACTCCCATGTCATGCCGTGTCATTGGGGATGTGCGACGCACTCAGCTGCTGAGGCTTTATGGCGTCGTCTGCCTCTAACCCTGGCAGGAAGGGCTGGCTCCGCAGGGATTCGAACCCCGTACCTCGGGTTTCCCAGACGCGCAGTGGTTAACGCAGACGCGTCTCTGGGCCCAGTCTCACTCCGGCAGCCGCTCTTTCCCCTGTCACAGACGCTGGTGAAGGACGCAGCGAATGAGCTGGACGAGGCGGTGGCGCGTGCCGATCAGCTGTCGGCCGAGGCGGCGGCGGCGCGGGCGCGCGCGGCCGACGCCGAGGCCGAGGCGGCGGCCGAGCGGCGCCGCGTGGCCGACACCGAGGCCGAGCTGGCCGCCGCCCGCCAGGTGGCCGCCCGCCAGGAGGCGCTGGTCGAGACCATGCGTCAGGACCGCAAGGCCACGCAGGAGCGACTAGACCGCGTCATGGAGAACGGTGAGCGCGCTCGGGAGGGTGGGGAGTCCGGACCGACGCCGGCTGCCGCTGGTCTGTGCTACCGACGAGTGGTTGCTGTGGTGCTGTTAGTCGCCACTTGGAACGGGTTCGTCGGACTGTGGTGCTGGAGGCTGGCGGGCGGGACGCTGTTTGGGAGCCGCTCGTCAGGCGTATGGCCCAGATAAGATGCAGGAATGTACTCTGGCATCCGTGAGGACGACGGGGTTCGTGTGCATTGGTCCTGATTCGGGATGTGAACGGGCCACAACTCAGCCACGCCGCGGCGGCGTTCCCGCGTGCTTGGTGCGCGGCAGCGGCGTTCCTGCGGGCATGATAGGCGGCAGCGGCGTTCCTGCGTGCATGGTAGGCGGCAGCGGCGTTCCTGCGTGCATGATTGGCGGCAGCGGCGTTCCTGCGGGCGTGGCGGGCGGCAGCGGCGTTCCTGCGTGCATGATTGGCGGCAGCGGCGTTCCTGCGCGCATGGTAGGCGGCAGCGGCGTTCCTGCGTGCGTGGCGGGCGGCAGCAGCGTTCCTGCGTGCATGATTGGCGGCAGCGGCGTTCCTGCGGGCGTGGCGGGCGGCAGCGATTTCCGATCCGATTGGAGGCTGCTTCGATCGGCGGCCTGCGCAGACTTCATTAGACTGCGGTGATTATGCGGCAGCCGGCACGCGAGCTCGCGACAGCCGTCATTAGCCGGCCTCCGCGTGTCCCGGCGTCGCATCGGGAGCCTTTTATAGACCGCGGGCTGCTCTGCCACGACAGCCATGCGTCTGTCCGCACGGCATCGTGGGAACTTCTGAGGCGCTGGTCAAGGTCGCGTCGGGTGTATTTCAACTTGCATGCAACAACACAGGGCCCACAGCTACGCGGTGAGGCGGCGGCCGGACGTCCGTCTCGCTGGGCCGACCGTGTCCCTGACGGCAGCCAGAGCCGCCCCACTGACCTGTCCGGGTCGCCCGGGACACCGCCAGAGAAGCAACTGGTGCTGGAGCTGGACCGGCTCAGTCGGCAGAAGACCAACACCGCGCGCATCCCCGACAAGACGCAGAAGCTGATCCAGAGTCTGGAGGAGCAGCGCGACTACTTCAAGGCTCAGGTGGGTCCGACGCTGGGCGCCGCCGCATGGGGTGAGCCTTCTTCCATGGGATTGTGTGCCACCTCAAGGCTGGTCATCGTTCCTGTGGTTGTAGGTGTGAGGGAGGCAGCAGCTGACGCCCATCCCTGGGCGTAGATGATCGAGCGGGTGCTGAAGCTTCCTGCGCGGATGTGTGAGGTAGCTTACTTGCGCTGGGACGTGGTGACCTTGCCCTGGTGCGATCTGGCACATCGCCTTTGCGACTTGTTGTGCTAGGCTTGGGAGCTCCCTTCTGGGTTATAGACATGGTACTACCTCAAAGTTGGGCTTTGTCCTGTTCTTGTTTCTGTTTTGAGGAGGGGGAGTTACCACTTCAGAGCTGGGTGGGTCTTGAGGATGCATGGAGCATGCTGCCGCCACTGCCAATCCGACCCTCCGGCTGCTTGCGGCTTGGGTCATCGTTTTAGGCAGTTAGCAATCGTGTGGTTGGAGGATTGGCGTGAGTTATTCTGTTCAGATGACTGTGCATGCTGGTTTATGTTGAGTAATCACGTCCTAACATCGGTTACGAGGTAGCTGGGCGACTGAGGTGTTCTGGGGCTCGTCTGCCTTGCTAATGTGTGCTGAATAAGGTTGGAGTTGCTAACACTGGTGTTTTTATTTGGATTTGACTTAGTGCTACAGTGTTTTCGTCGCGGAAAAGCCTGGCACGCCAGCGATGGAGGACAGTCGGCCACTGGCCTTCGTGATCGACTTGTTATGTTGCAAACTCTTCCCATTCCATTTGTAAATGAGGTAGAATTTTTATGTTGGTGTGTGGGACCGTGCTTGCGGCTAATTGGCGTTTGATTAATGCTGATGACTTGATTTGGTTGATGATTAATGGTGGTCAGGGCTATTGAATGTTCTCTGAATATTTCCAACTTGATGGTTAGATCCAGGGATGACGAGGAGAGGAACCCTTTCGCACGACCCCGGGCGGTCACGAGTGGCCAAATACCTTGTGCGGTGCTGGATAAAAACGTGTTTGAGGTGTGGTGTTTGGGCCTAACAATTATGGACGTTTGTTTGGACGATGATGTATTTTGTGACATTTCGGCAGGTGGATGAGCTGATTGAACAGCTGCAGAAGAAAGATAGAAGGGCCGTGGACTCGGTAAGACATGTTCGTGCGGTCACGTTTCATATGCGTGATAGCACCTCTCCAAATTTCGGTACGGAATGCATGCGGGCGCCTTCCATATTGTGATATCCATACCAAAAACCACGGCCTGAATTTTCACCTAATCGCGCGGCACCGCCTCCAGTGGATGACGGATGTTATCCCTGGCCGTTGGCATGCCCCTCACCGCCTGCTAGTGGCAGCCGGAGCCGGCCCTGGTCCTCCACGCGTCGCAGGCACCGCCGCCGCTCTCTCCGGCAGGAGCTGCAGGATGAGCTGGCGTTCCTCCGCTCCGAGTGCGGTCGGCTGGAGGAGGAGAACCGGCGCCCCGCTGCCCCGGCCACGGTCAGACCCCACCCTCTCCCTCCCTCCCTCCTGCGCCCGGCGCCGCCCCGGCCACGGTCAGACCCCACCCTCTCCCTCCCTCCCTCCTGCGCCCGGCGCCGCCCCGGCCACGGTCAGACCCCACCCTCTCCCTCCCTCCCTCCTGCGCCCGGCCGAAGTTTTCTAGGCCATCTCTCGGGCTGATGCGTTCCGCAGAGTTCGTGCAAAGGGCACGGTCCCTCCCGGCTGGATCTCATGCTGTCCTCCGTGCCTGTGGTCCGCCTCAGCTCAGATCTCCTGCCACTGACATGCGGGTTGATTGAGCCCACCCTTCGTCCCGTGCCCGGTCTGACGGGCATGTGACGGCGCACTGCCTTGCTAACGGTCCAAGGACACTTATGTGAGGTTGTTTTGTGTGGACGACTCGGGGGGGGGGGGGAGCCAATCCTGGTTGCCACTTGACCTCCGAAGAACCGACGAAATGGACTCTGTCTAGTGCCGTACTCCCGTCCCTTGGGAGGCATCGGTTCGCTCAGCTCTGTGTTCCTTGTCCCCAGGGAGGTATCCGTCCGCACAGTGCCGTGTTGTCCCCTGGGAGGTATCCGTCCGCACAGTGCCGTGTTGTCCCTGGGAGGTATCCGTCCGCACAGTGCCGTGTTGTCCCCTGGGAGGTATCCGTCCGCACAGTGCCGTGTTGTCCCCTGGGAGGTATCCGTCCGCACAGTGCCGTGTTGTCCCCTGGGAGATATCCGTCCGCACAGTGCCGTGTTGTCCCCTGGGAGGTATCCGTCCGCACAGTGCCGTGTTGTTCCCTGGGAGGTATCCGTCCGCACAGTGCCGTGTTGTTCCCTGGGAGGTATCCGTCCGCACAGCTCCGTGTTCCCTGTCCCCTGGGAGGTATCCGTCCTCACATTGCCGTGTTGTCCCCTGGGAGATATCCGTCCTCACAGTGCCGTGTTGTCCCCTGGGAGATATCCGTCCGCACAGTGCCGTGTTGTCCCCTGGGAGGTATCCGTCCGCACAGTGCCGTGTTGTCCCCTGGGAGATATCCGTCCGCACAGTGCCGTGTTGTCCCCTGGGAGGTATCCGTCCGCACAGTGCCGTGTTGTCCCCTGGGAGGTATCCGCACAGTGCCGTGTTGTTCCCTGGGAGGTATCCGTCCTCACATTGCCGTGTTGTCCCCTGGGAGGTATCCGTCCGCACAGTGCCGTGTTGTTCCCTGGGAGGTATCCGTCCGCACAGTGCCGTGTTGTCCCCTGGGAGGTATCCGTCCTCACATTGCCGTGTTGTCCCCTGGGAGGTATCCTCACATTGCCGTGTTGTCCCTGGGAGGTATCCGTCCGCACAGTGCCGTGTTCCCTGGGAGGTATCCGTCCGCACAGTGCCGTGTTGTTCCCTGGGAGGTATCCGTCCGCACAGCTCCGTGTTCCCTGTCCCCTGGGAGGTATCCGTCCGCACAGTGCCGTGTTGTTCCCTGGGAGGTATCCGTCCGCACAGTGCCGTGTTGTCCCTGGGAGGTATCCGTCCGCACAGTGCCGTGTTGTTCCCTGGGAGGTATCCGTCCGCACAGTGCCGTGTTGTCCCCTGGGAGGTATCCGTCCTCACATTGCCGTGTTGTCCCCTGGGAGGTATCCGTCCTCACATTGCCGTGTTGTCCCCTGGGAGGTATCCGTCCGCACAGTGCCGTGTTGTTCCCTGGGAGGCATCCGCCCGCACAGTGCCGTGTTGTTCCCTGGGAGGCATCCGTCCGCACATTGCCGTGTCCCCTGTCGCCAGGACGGTAATCGTCTGCAGACGGAGGCTGCGGAGCTGCGCCGCCAGCTGGCTGACTGTGAGCGCCAGCTGGCGGGCTCGGCCGCTCAGCTCGACGTCAAGACCAACGAGAGCGAGCAGCTGCGGCACCGGCTGGACGAGGCGCTCCGCTCGCTGCACAGGTGCGACGACCCGGGCGGCGCTGCGCGGGCGGCGGAGCAGGCGCGCCGCTCCACCCACCGCGGTCTCTGAGCCGAGACGCCAGGTTACAGTTAACGTAGCAGTTTCAGGCTCACGTGAGGATAGGTTAGGCGCCGAGTGGTGCTTGATGGCGAATAGAGACGGTTGTGCTGGCAAGTGTGATAGCTCAGAGAAAGTCCGTCTGTGGTAAGACGAGCGTTTGTTATAACTCTGACGAAGATGGTGGAGTCGGGACTTTTGGAGGTTTCAGCAAATGGACGGAAAATCAGACTTTACCGTCACCTGCAGGGCCCTGAATTCCTTCATCTTGGTCGTCAAACCTACGCTTTTCTATGGCGCTGTCTACACGCACATTTGCATTGCATGCACTGCGCTCAACTGTGGCGACTTGCTTCCATCCGAGACTCCGTCTGACCTGCCGCACGCCCTCCGCGCCAGACTGAGCGACTCTGAGTCGGCGGCCACCATGGCCAGCGCTGCTCAGCTGGAGAGTCTGGTGCGCACCCTGGAGCAGGAGCGCAGCCTGGCCACCGGCGACTACCACCGCGTCGACCAGGAGCGCAAGGAGCTGCGACACCGGCTCAAGGCGAGTACCGGCGCTGCTGGTCGGCGGCGACCTACCCGGGGATGAGCGACGCTCCTCAGTGACGCTGCACCGGACCGCGGGTCGGCCAGGGGGCGGTCGCTGAATTGTGCCGGTAGAGGGAATTGAACCGTGGTCCTTTGGGTCACAGGGCTCGTACGTCCTCCTGATATGTAGTCTTCGCCGGCTTGTTGCCGTCGTGGCCTTCCAGTCACTTGTTTGGGCAGCGCGGCACAGACCGCTGGTGTTGACTTCCACTGCCCGTGGCAGTTATTTTTGTCCGCCGGGTCCGTCCGGGCGCGCCGTCTGCGGGCGTTGTTTTTCGCCCGCGCTCGGCGTGGCGGCGTGTTGGCGGCGGTCGCTGGAGAGCGGTCGAGTCATATTTGATTAGCGCCGGGGGCGGCCGGTGCGTGCCGCCCTTTGTCACGCATGTTGACGGAGCCGACACTTGGCCGGGCCGGCCGGCTGCTCGGCAGCCGCCCCGATGGACTAATGGGGACGGCACGGACACGCCACGAGTGACGGGCGGCGGGGAGGGGCGCCGCGGACGGCTGGAGATGGGCCGGCGCGGGATTGGCAGTCGCCGACCGGCCGGCCGGCGGGCGGCCGGTGGCGCGCCGACCGCGCTCACTGGCGGCGTCACCGGGTGGGGGTGTGGCTCCAGTCAGCCCCTGCAGGGCCCTCTCGGTCGCCGGTGCTGGGAGATAGTGCTGTCGGCGGTTTGAGGCTGCCGATCTGGGGCGTCTCGGGGCGGTTTTCTCGGTTTGTACCGCTGGCTGGGGTTGTGTCTCCACGGTCGGTTGTGCTCGGCTGCCGTGACTGGCTGGTGCTGACGACGGCTGCTGTCGGCGGCTTACCGTCCAGTGCTGAGAGTCGGCGCTGTCGACTGGTGTTGCCTGGGGCTCATAGCGCGGACTCCACCGCAACTGCCATTTGCTTCTTTCATGCTGTTCGAATGATGGGATTTGGCGCAAGGTGCAGACGTCCAAGGGCTGATGTGTGTGTGAGTTCACTCGCTGCACGCGTTGCTCTTCTGAAGTCTTTCGCCATTGCTCGACGGCGTTAACTCCTCCTCATCCAGAGGGGCTAGCTGGCGTCCCGTACACGTCAGGTCCCGGACAGTTCGCGAGGCGGTGCCCGACCGCTCGTGCCCAGCTGCCTGCAGAGCGTCGGCTTCATGCTGCGTGCGGGGCAGGACTTACGGCCTCGCTTGTGAGCAGGCAACGGTCGGTCCATGCCGCCCGTAAGAGTGGCGATCAGTCTTTTTAAGCGGAGGTGTTATGTTTCCGTGACGAATGTCGAACAGCTCTCCTGGAGTGAACCGGGGCGATACTGATCTCGCCAGCGGCCGGTCGCTGGTCGCCATGCCTGAGGATGAGGAGGGCGTGTGCCTGACGGTGAGGGCGGTGCGGTTCTCGGCCCGCCCCGCCTCCGGGGGAGGGTCGCCAGACAGCTGCGGTAGGTCGCGACCGTCGAGGTCAAGGCCACGGGAACGGAAGCCGTCCAGCCCGCCGAGGACGCGAGGCGGGGACCTTGCATGAGCAGCCTAAGTCGCAAGGTCCAATCCTCTCAGAGTTCCGCCCAGGTCAAGAGATGGGACCACCTGGAATTTGTCCAGGTCAGGAGATAGGACCTCGAGAAGTCCGTCTAGGCGTCAAGATTGTACGTCCAAGAGTCCACCCAGGCCAAGAGATGGGACCTCCCGGAGCCCGCCCAGGTCACAAGGCAAGAGCGCCCAGAGTCCTGCCAGGTCACGAGGCCAGGCCCCCGAGAGCCCTTCCAGTCCAGGAGGCCGACCCTCCCGGAGCGTCACCAGGTGGCGCGGCCGGACCCCCTCCAGCCCGCCGCGGCCGGCGGGACGGTCCGGCGGCAGCCCGCCGCCGCCGGCAGCCTGCCGTGCCCGGCGGCATGGCTCGGTGCCGAGCGCGCCACCGGGGCCCGGCCGGCCGAGCGCACTCCGACTGGAGGCTGGCGCCGGCGCCCGGCCGCGGCCGTCGGCCGGGCCGGCTGAACAGCCCCTGCTGGCGCCAGGCGAGGCCGCCCGCCTCGTGCGGAGGATGCTGGTGAGCTGGGTGGCGGCGATGGGGCCGCGGAGGCGACGCCGCCCACTGCTAGGGCTCTGCATGTGAATGTTTGTCTCCGGTACTGCGTCGGCTTCGTGACGGATTATTAGCCTGACGACTCCAGGCTTATGATCCAGATCACGCCATCGGTTTTTGCCGACATTTGAAGATGGGCGTTATGGTCGAGCGATGTTTGCCGGCGGTCACAAAAACACAGCAATGCCCATATCGGCATGATTACCTACGCCAAGTGCTCTGCTGTGTTGGGACTGGCTTTGTAACGGGGCCTGCGATCCAAAACATCGCCGCCGATGTGATCTATGGGCACGCTTTTTACGGCGCAGCGTTGTTTGTTTTGCAGGTCGCCACGGAGACCCAGCTGGCCGACCGGGTGAAGATGGAGTCGCGCATCGCCGAGCTGGAGGCCCTGATCGGCGCCGCTGAGACGGACCGCACGGTGCAGCACAGTCAGACGGCCTCCCACCGAGCGCTCATCTCCAGTCTGGAGGCTCAGGTCAGGGCTAGCCGGCATGTCACGCCTACCAGCCCCGAACACGAGCCTGCGGTCCATGGGCCTGGCGCGGGGTTACACAGGGTACTACAACAGCCCTGTGGTCCAGTCAGGTCGGCGTCAGGACTCACACACGGCACCACAGGAGAAAGCGAAACCTACGTACCGGTCGCTATGCGGCGGTGCGGACGTGTGGTGACCGAAAATCAATTACTGACTGTTTTCAAATTTCCAATCCTGTCATAACTTATATTATATTCGTGTTAAAACTGAAGATCAAAGAAGGTGACGCTTCTTACACTTCAGGAAAACAGAAAAATCCGATATAGGGGAGACGGCTTTGGACTTGCTCCGGCGGCGATGACCTTGAATGTCAGGTTGACCTTGAATTAATTTTGGATCTTTTACTAGGCTGGGAGGCTCCCGAACAGCGTGCAATACGCCATTCTCGCCAGTACCCCTATGGAGCATGCAATATAACATGAGGTTGGTGTTATGAATTCCGACCCCAACATCATTGCACACCAAATCACAAAGCTGACCTAAGACGACCCAGTACACCAGACTGACAGCACAACACCTTTAGTACGCCTGTAGCACGCGTGTTAACGGATACGTCCTCAGATCGCGTTTAACGTCCTATAGCTATACACATTATTGATCTATGCTGGCGTGCAAAGTGTCCAGGATGACTTTATTTGATGCCTCGGGCCTCAGGCAATGTACTTCAACCCATTACCACGATGAACTATGGCGTGTAAAACGAAATCGCGATAACGATACGGGCTGTAAATTGGGTACGTGTGATATTGAAATGGTGTCATTTTGGCATAACCTGATATGCCACGGCCCACCACTGTCAATGCAGCGTGTCTCTGGCTTTGTCAGGGTTACTGTAAGCATAAATAACTGGACCAATTGCAGTAACATATTTCCGATCGAACAGCACCAGGTGCTGTTCGATCGGAAATTATGCCGCAACACCAGGGTGAGGACAAAAAACAAACGGAAACCTCCCGTATTCACCATCTACCTGGCAGTGCGCTTCCGCTGATACCATCGTGGCCGTGCGTTTGACAGGTGAAGAATCTGCAGAACTCGCTGAGCGGCTCCCAAGCGGAGCTGAGCCGGGTCATGACCAAGAACACCAAGATGAAGTAAGTCGCTCGACCAGGGCAGACGCGTTTTGGTGTTCATGTTCCGTGTTGTGCAGTAGTGGCAATGAACAAAACAGTGGGGTGACACTTTTTGACACCGGGCGAGTTCGAAGGCTGCGAGACGGCATCGAACCTGGTTCGGTGAGGAATATATGGGAAGAGGCCGGTGGATTTCGAGTTAATAGCAGCTGATGTTATGGATGTGTGATAAGCTCGACGGGACGCCCTAGGAGAAGTCTACAAGGAAACTTGTTCAACAGTGAGTCTTGCCATCGTCCTTCCCTTCCCTCTCGTCCGTCCGCCCTCCCACGTCACGATCGAGCACGCCGCGACGGTGGCGCCGCGTCGCGGCATCGTGCGACACGGTCGTCAGGCCCGACGGCGGGCGACAGAGGCGCCAACGGTGCCGGAGCGGACAGTTTGGCAGTGAGCAGCGCGGAGCCGACGCTGGCCCAGGTGGCATGGCTGACGGCGGAGGCTTATGGCGCTCACGGGGGCTGGTTTACGACGCTCTCAGTACATGTGGCCACAGGCATCGGCTGTCTTTCGCCTTGATACGAAGGGCGGGCATGGCGGGCAGTCGGGCCGCGTGATTCGGGTTTACCAGACACCCAGTGGAACCGCCGGGCCACCAGCCCGCTCGGCTCGGCGCGGCCCGACGCTGCCCTGACTGTGTCCCGCGCCGACATCGACCTGACGAGCTGAGGTAGATCCACCCAGGTATTTTCGGATTGGGGGTGGGGGTGGGGGTGGGCTGGAAAGGCGGACGAGGTGTTATTCAAGCTGGCCATGCCGAGCTTAGTAACTTATGTTTTTATCGAGCTGTTTTGGCGTGCAAGGTCAGAGATTCAAAACAGAAGCGTGACGTCCGCCATCGTGCGCCTTTTTTGGGGCACCAACGACTACATTGGCCATGTATGCGCTGAGCTACCATGGCGCAGCCGGGTCTCAAACCCGAGATCTAATTAGCACTTTTTGAGTCTATTCCGGTGTGAATTAATCCTTCAAATATGTGATAAGGCGCGGATTTACATTATTGTATCAACCAAGGGGTACCTGACGCAGATAATCACAGGTCATCGCTATTTGTTGTTCCCTTAGAACTTAAGGATCTTTACCAACCATTATGTTCGAATTGTATGTTTTTTCGTTCTTTATTAGCAGGTAGCATTTTTATTTAGGTCAGCGATCTGTATCGACCTTTCTGAGATGACAGAACCGTATCTAGGTAAATATGTGGTGCTTATGAAAGCGGTGCATCAACTAGAAGTTCACAAAAAGTAACACAAATAACCACAGATTATGTGTTTAGTTATATGTAAGGCCAATGAGGTCACGGTCTTAATATTTCATGTTTGGTTTATCTTTACCACTTATAGGTGTGTAGGTAACATGGAGTGAAAGGCCAGATATGTACGACAAACGCTGGCAATGGTGTACAATGGTTGCAAACGTACATCTGCAGGCCAAATAAGGTTCGTGACCTACGATGTCCTTGAAGGTCAGGCTGTCAATCGCAGGTGCGTAAGCGATGCTGTGCATAGGAAGTCGACAAATCCGACAATTTACGCTACTAGTGTAGATTTCACCAGAGGGTAGTGCTAAAGGCCAAGTTTGGTCAGTGATCCATGATAACCACACCACGCCGTTGAAAGGTCAGAGAGTAAGTGACATGGCTAGGTGAACAAACTTGCGAATACCGCAGGAAGACGAGTTACAGCGTATTGCCAGATGTCTTAGGCTCATCTGCGATTTTGGCCGACAGAGCGGCAAAGCGGTTCTGAAATACTGCAGGAGAGGACACTGAAAAGTTCAGGACAAAGCGACATAGTGTTCTCGGAACACTGCAGGAAATGATTCTGAAAATTTCAGGATAAAGTGACAAAGCGTTCTTGAAATACCGCAGTAAAAGGTGCCAAAAAATTCAGAACAAAGTGACAAAGTGTACCTGACCTACGGCAGGAGAAGATGCTGAAAATTTCAGGATGCTAGCGTAAGCTGTTCTCCGAGAGATCAGAAAGATCGCAGAAGGATACCTCCCCTCCGCAGTGCGCGAGAAAAACCCAATCTTACCGTTGCACGCCGATGTGTTAGTGTAACGGCGCTACGGCCGGACAAGCTGGGGTGGCGTGACGTTCAGGCCCTATGTTAGAGGTGTGTTGTGTAGCAACATGTGGAAACGGGCATTATCAAGCGCCGGATCGAACTAAAAGTGTCTTATCATGTCACTATGGCTTTTACGCCCACCTGGGTGATGCAACTTGACATTGCTGAATTATGCATAAGGTGTCCCAGGAGTCGTAATTAAAGTCCGTGCAGGTGATCGTACCCCAGCATGTTTGGTCAAAATAGCACCGGTCACATAAACAGGCTGTTTTTGCAGATGAGATGCGTGCTTTTTGAGAATCTGATGTTCCGTGGAAAGGTCAGGCTTGTGCCGGCGCGGATGCTTAAGCCTCTTGCATACATAGAACACACTGCTACTCGAAGCCCTGAGACATTCACATGGCTTGCAGCGACCAGTCCGTTTCGTTTGCTCTGACTCACATAGTGTTGGTTGTAGGACGGACGTAGACAAAAGATACCGCTTCCCGCTGTGGCGTATTTGAGAGCCAGCATGAGTGGCACACCGCGCGCGCGCGCGCCGTCCGCTGTCCGGCCGCTGAGGTGGCCGATTTGTAGGGTTGGTAGGATTTGTCATGGTGTCGTCGCCAGTTGTTGATGAAGACGCGTCCGAAGAGTTAAAACACCCTCGCCACATGAACATCGTAACGTATGCCAACTATATTTGCCAACGTTTGGTGTTATCCCGATATATACTCATGGTCTTCAGTGACTTACTGCGACAGCGACTAGCAACAAAGGACCCATGGCATCCACATCGATACGGTCACGCTGCCGTGGGTATCAGACCTTTTGTGGACCTGCACTAAACCCATTACTTGCACGGTCTCTGACGCTGTATGAAGTGACTCCTAATGGGGATGCGCAAAGACCGCTGATAGCACAAACGCGAACCTCTGGGTCCGGACTGCTGCGCAGCTTATACAGTGTTGAGATACAACAACTAATCCGCAACTAAAATCGTACGGTCTGTGACAGAGCCGACCCGCAATTGAAATGGACGACACGTTACGATTGCACGGTCAATGCGGTGTGCACCGAAGCGGGATACCGTTCCCCAAAGGGCCGAAATGACTCGTTCCAGATGTTGTTCGGCGCAGCTCTTAAACAGCTGAGCTGCAGCTGAGCTGTTGTTCGTATGTTTGCCGTCTCAGCGTTACGATGAGCTTCATTTGTCACATCAATAATCGCCAGAGTAGGGATGGTGCCCCCCCCCCCCCCCCCCCCCCGGCTACACGAAGGAAGGCAACTTGTGCTTGCCGTTCCGGGGACCCACTTTCTTTTACCTTTCGATGCCTTTCAACACCCGGCGTTTTTTTTTCTTTTCCCCATGACTGTTGTCCTTGGCATTGTCCCTGCCTCCCGTGGGGATTGTCATTATTCCGCTTCCGCACCTCGTGTCGGTCATCACCCCCGCGGGTGTCGCCCCCGCGCTGTACATACAGGCATGTTGCCAAGGCAACCTGGTCTCCAGGCCGACCGAGTAAACGCCCTAGATACGGACGCAATAGTGCGCTCTAAATTCTGTCCACTTGGCCATTGCCAACAGGTATCGATCATGCGCCAATGACGTCACGTGTCTGCGATCGCCGTAAACAGCCTTTTCTTCGTACGGGTTGGCCGGCGCCCCGTCAGTCGGCGCTGATACTGTGAATCAATGGGTGCGTGCCATGCATTGTGTCCATTCGGCCGGCTCACGCGGCTCGATATGGGGTCGCTGGCCGACGGCACGGAGTGGTGAGAGTCATTACCGCGCGAGCGGCGGAGGGCAAAGGTCAGGGTGGGCCCGCTCCTCGGCCCAGGCTGGTCGGAGGTCTGGAGATAGTGTGAGGAACACTGTGTGCCGCGGTGACAGCGGTGGGACCAGCCGACGGGAGGGAGCGGCTCGGCTTCAAGACCTGCGAAGCCGGCGGCCAACGCCAGAGCCTGGTGAGAAGGAACCCATCTCGGTCAAACCACCGGGAAGGAGGCGCGTCTGTGCCCTAAACCGCAAACACAGGTTGATAAAGCCAAGACCCGAAGAAAGAATAGGATCAAATTGGAGTAAAAATAACGCGTTGAAGACGTTTGATGCCCTCAACCGTGTTGCAAGGAGCACCAGTGCGTAGCCACCCAGAGAATATTGTGAAGAGTTCGGGTCTGAAACAAAAAACGACGCCGGCGAACACCACCGCAAGACCTCTTCAGAAGGCGTTGATCGACTCGCTCGGCTGCGAAAGTTGATTGCCGCTTGGACAGACCGCCAGGCACAATGTACTCTAACAATCGTGCGAACGAGCTGCGTTCGAAGGCGCAGCGTCCGAGGGCCGTCCGGGAGCAGGCGGTAGCCGGCGACCGGAACCGGGGCCGCGACAGGAGCAGGAATCTCCTGGACGCCGGCCAGCGAGACAGGGACCTCCCCGATCGCCGAGCGAGCCGAGACCGGGTTGACGTCCGGGACCGGGGCAGAGCCGTCGCCGACAGGGGAGGCGGAGCGGCTGGCTCGGCGCGGCGCGGCTCGCTCAGGCCCGACCTGGAGCCGCTGCTGTCGCGCTCGGCGGCGGCGCAGGCCAGCGCCGCGCCAGGCCGCGCCAAGCCGTACGCCAACATGAGCCTGGACGAGCTGCTCGGACTGCCGGACGACAAGCCGTACTCGGTCAGCGTCAGCTTCACATACGGCCAGCCGGCTGGCGCCCCGGCGGCGGCGGTGGCGGCGGTGCCGGCTCTCCCGCCGCCGCCGGCCGGCGAGCCCCCGGTGGCACCTGCCCCACCCGCGCCGCCGCCACCTCCGTCGCCGCCCGCCAGCAACCGGCGCCTGGCCGTGCTGGGCGCCGGCGACTACGGCCGGGCGTTCGCGGCGCGTGCGGCGCTCTGCGGCTGGCGCGTGACACTCGGCAGCCGGCGGCCGGGCCGCGTGCCGCCGCTGCCGGACGAGGCAGAGGTGGCGCTGGCCAGCACCGAGGAGGCCGCCGCCGCCGCCGACCTGCTCGTGGTCTGCGTGCCGGCCCACTTCTACGGCTCGCTGCCGCTGGCCGCTCTCGCCGGCAAGGTGGTCGTGGACGTGAGCAACGGCGCCAGCGCTGCCCAGGTGGCGCTCGAGGCCAACGCCGAGCGTCTGCAAATGCTGGCGCCCACTGCGCGTGTCGTCAAGGCCTTCAACGTGGTCTCAGCCTACGCGCTGGAGCGCGGCCTGCAGGGCGGCAAGCAGGTGTTCGTGGCCGGAGAGTCGGCGGCGGCGCGCGCGCGCGTGTCCGGGCTGGTGGCCGACCTCGGCTTCTTTCCGGTGGACCTGGGCGGACTGCGCGCGGCGCGGCGCATCGAGACGCTGCCGCTGCAGCTGTTCCCGCAGTGGCGGGCGCCGGCCGCAATCTGCCTGCTGCTGCTGCTGCTCTGCTGGGTGTTCCTGCTGCTGCGCGACCAGGTGTGCCCGGCGGCCGAGACTGGCGGCCCTTGGACGCTCGAGCTCTTCAAGCCGTTGCTCATGGTGAACGTGAACAAGGCGCTGGCGATGACAGCTGGCGCCGTGCTGGCCGTGGTGTACCTGGCCGGCGTGGTGGCCGCCTACCTGCAGTTGTACCGCGGCACCAAGTACCGCCGCTTCCCCGGCTGGCTCGACCGCTGGCTGCTCATGCGCAAACAGCTGGGTCTGCTGATGCTGGCTCTGGCGTCGCTGCACGCCTGCATTTCGGCGGCGGTCTGGTCGCCGCGCTACCTGCCGCTTGTCTACCAGTCGCCGACGGTCATCGAGGCGCAGGTGGTGGTCGCCGGCAACGAGACGGAGCTGCAGAGCGTGACCGTCTACAACCGCGGCATGCACTGGCGCGGCGAGGCGTTCCTCTCGGCCGGCACGCTGGCGCTCGGCCTGCTCTCCGTGGTCGGGGTCACCTCGCTGCCGAGCGTGGGCGCCGCGCTCAGCTGGCGCGAGTTCATGTTCGTCCAGTCGGGGCTGGGCTGGAGCGCGTTGGTCGCCGCCACCGGGCACGCTGTCGTGCTGGCGATGACGCCGGAGACGCTGGAGGTGCGCTGCAGCGCGCCGCCACCGCTGCAGGTCAGCCTCTACCTGCCGGTGCTCACCGTGCTGCTCAAGCTGCCGCTGCTGCTGCCGCCCGTGGCGCGCCACCTCAGCGCCATCCGTGGCGGCCACGAGAGGCGCAAGTTCGTGAAGCGGCCGACAGAGGTCGGGCCGGCGCCCTGAGCGGTGACGGCAACCGGCTGGAGGAGACGTTGAGAAGAGAACGATGAAAGAGAATTTTGCGTAGAGGACAGTCACCGACGGCGACCGATCAGAAGGGATGATGCTGAGAACAACGATGTGGGGTTCGGAAAAGTAGATGTTGACACCACAATATTTATGTCACGTCCCTGTGGACTAGTCCAGGTTAGAGCTTCGTCGTTTTACCATGTAGCCATATGGTTATAGCATAGCACAACCGCATCGATTACGCGTATCATCGGAACTAGTCTGGTGTGTGGAGTAGGTCGTGGAGTAACATCCATGGAAGGTTCCTTGAAATCACGAGTCGTGCCTTACACACAACTCAGGTTGAACCATATCGATCGCGTCACGTGAAACGATAACGTATGGAGAGGTATGGCCGGCTTTGACTGCCACAATATTTTTGTCGCGTCCCTATTCGTTAGTCCAGGCTAGAGGTTGGCTGTGTGAATGGATAGCTAGGTGTGTCACCCGTACGTATATGTGAAGCGTGAAGCAGGGCATCCAATAACGGAGATGAAAGAGCTTGAAATCACTGATGATCCCTTATATCCAACTAAGGAGGAACGGTATCTGTCGTTTCACATGTTATGCAGTGCCCTTACGTTACCTAGACACGTTTATTGAAATGCACGTGATATCTGTGCTTGTATTAACCTGGGTAACCTCATACGAAGAGCTATCACAGTGCCTTAGAAAAATATATTTTATCCTCGCGCACGACTTATGAAGGCACTGTCACCTGTTCCGCCAGCTCGTGCGCTGCAGTTGTGCAAAGCTGGTGGTCGGTTGGCATGTGCGGTCCCCGCAACGGTCCTCCAACGCACCCCACGCCGTGCTTCTACTGGCCGCGCATGGACAGCGCCGCCAGCTTACGGCGGTCTTGTTATCCATCTTGCCGTTTTCCGTGCCCTTCCGTGGCTAGTGTTTGGGTCAGTGCTGGCGGCGGCCCGACTATGCGGTGTTGTGCGGGGCCTTCGTCGGGACATTGTCCACGGGAGGCCTCCAGATGAGATACGCTCACAGCAGGGCGCCGTCGGTTGGGGGCTGCCGCGTACCATGCTTGGGGAACTGAATGCACGTGAAGCGTGCTGTAGCCGAAATAAACGTCCACATCGATAGCTGTATGCACAGGTGGTCCCGGCTCCAGTGTCAGCCAGGTGCCGCTTACCGGGCTCCTGGGGAAGGGGTAGGGAGTCGCGTGCGTTACATTACAACATGTCAGAGTCTGCCAGCAGCGCGGAGAGATCGTGTCGAACACGCCATGAGCCCAAGCGTTCAATATCGATGACACACGACCTGCACAGCGCCGGAGTGTGCGGGCCATTGTACCAGGGAGACCACACCGAACCAAGCTTGTGAGGCTCAAGATTAGCAGTTCTCTCACGCCTAGACTACAGAGGACCGCAAATGACCGGCTGGGGTGCCGGTCTTGTAAGCTCAGACATTTTAGGACATTCAGGATGGACGTTTCAGTTGTCTTCAGGTCATGACTGATTGTTTGGTGAGTATCAGTGGCTCTGCTGTGTGCTGGCACAAGTCAGTAGCGACAGTGCAGACAAATACTGTACAGAACGAGACGTCTGGAGACCACCCGTGCGGGACTAGGAGCAAAACATTCATTGTCGCCTGTTAAGTATTGGCACTTGCAGGCGGCATTTGCAAAAGCTGCTAACGGCTGTGCTTGAACAGGGCGATTGTAGACGACACCGATCCTCTTCACGCATGCTTTCCAGCGTCGCGCGCAGTCACCTGACGTCTGCCCTGTCAACAGGACGTTCGTGGACCGCGGGGAGTCCTCGCTGAAAGACTGCGAAAACAAGCTGATCAAGACCACCAGCGAACTCGAGGTACCCCCGTCACGCGAGCGAACGTTCACGCGGATGTGTTGTAGCGTAGTCCTTGATAATTAAGCGTTGACATCGTCGAAACAAGCGGCTGGTCGACTTTGTTCCCACCCTGTTATGGATATGGTTGTTGTTGTTGTTGTTGTTGTTGTTGTTGTTGTTGTTGTTGTTGTTGTTGTTGATGATGATGATGATGATGATGATGATGATGATGACGATGATAATGATAATGATGAAGCCACTTATCCTTTCGCTATGTTTTAGTCTACGTTTCATTCAGCGCCTACACCGCTGGTCTGTGTGTTGTGAAGGCTTCACAGTAGGGTTGGTCAGCGCCTTTCTGAAACATTGCGCGTGATGTTGTTTGCGGGGCTTTTTCAATTCAACTGTTGTAATGCCGTCCAAACACGGAAGTGTGTTATTTTAGCGTCTACGTTTCTAATGCTAGCAAACGCACTGCTGACGCGGACGCCCCATGTCGGCGTGCGGCGCTGTCGGGTCCGGGGAGAGCGTGTCCCGACCGTGTCCTGACCGTCGGTGCCGCGGTCCGGGGAGAGCGTGTCCCGATCGTGTCCTGCCCGTCGGTGCCGCGGTCCGGGGAGAGCGTGTCCCGACCGTGTCCTGCCCTTCGTTGCCGCGGTCCGGGGAGAGCGTGTCCTAACCGTGTCCTCCCCTTCGTTGCCGCGGTCCGGGGAGAGCGTGTCCCGACCGTGTCCTGCCCGTCGGTGCCGCGGTCCGGGGAGAGCGTGTCCCGACCGTGTCCTGCCCGTCGATGCCGCGGTCCGGGGAGAGCGTGTCCCGACCGTGTCCTGCCCGTCGGTGCCGCGGTCCGGGGAGAGCGTGTCCCGACCGTGTCCTGCCCGTCGATGCCGCGGTCCGGGGAGAGCGTGTCCCGACCGTGTCCTGCCCGTCGGTGCCGCGGTCCGGGAGAGCGTGTCCCGACCGTGTCCTGCCCTTCGGTGCCGCGGTCCGGGGAGAGCGTGTCCCGACCGTGTCCTGCCCGTCGATGCCGCGGTCCGGGGAGAGCGTGTCCCGACCGTGTCCTGCCGTCGGTGCCGCGGTCCGGGAAGAGCGGTCCCGACCGTGTCCTGCCCTTCGGTGCCGCGGTCCGGGGAGAGCGTGTCCCGATCGTGTCCTGCCCGTCGGTGCCGCCGAGCTGTGTGTGAGCCGGGCGTCTGGGCGCGGGCGTCCTCTGGCCGGCCCAGTCGTCCCCTGGACGTTTGATCGCGGTGACGGACGTGCGGCCGGCCCGGCAGGTGTGCCAGACACAGAGCTCGCAGCTGCAGCGCCAGTGCGCCGACCTGCGCGCCACCGTCGACGAGCTGCAGCGCGAGGCGCGCCGGCAGACCAAGGTCATCGAGCAGGTCATCCGCGAGCGGGACAAGTTCCAGGTGCGTGTCCAGGGGTCGGAGCCGAGGTGGGTGGTGCAGGGTGAGGTCGGATAAGACCGTCAGGATGGGCAGAGAAGTGGCGTCGGTGGAGGTTAGCTTGGGTTGAAGTGATGTTGCGAGACTGGGCATTAGTGTGTGCTTCATGGCTAAAGTGAGCTGAAGGGTCTGGGGTCTGTCATTTGAACGGGTTGGCGTCGCCTCTGTGGTCTGGGTTACGGGTTGGCGGGGGCCTGAAATCTGGGATCGGAGGGCGCCAGCTTCTCTCAGTGGCTTCTTCTACCCGTGGCTTCTGACGTGTGATGCCTGCGGCTGTGCCGCCGCTGACTGTCCCCTGTTGCCCCAGAACGACGTGGACGACAAGACGGAGCTGCTGGACGAGCACTGTCAACAGCTGGAGAAGTGCACTGCCCACATCGGGCAGCTCGAGTCCACCATCACGAACCTGACCGCCGACCTGGCGTGAGTACCAAGCCGTCCGGATCCGGACTGGACCTGACGTGTGGGCCTCGGCAGACCTGAGGCCGACCTGCTGGAGGCACCGCGGGCGGGGTTACGGAGCCGCTTCTGAGCTGGGATGCGGTGCCGCGGGCGTGAACGGTGTGTCGCCCTGGGGCTGCCATCCGCTGCGTGATGAGCCTCTGCCGGGTCATGGCCAGCATGAGCGCTCACCACCCGTGTCGTCTGACATTGAACTGACACCGTGGAAGACATCTGAGGTGGAAGCTCGCTCTCCTGGCAGATTCACGAAGGTGCACAATGACAAGTGCCTGTATTGACGGCTGTTGAGGTCAGCATTTTACAATAATTTACGCAATGCACGGATGTTGATCACAAACACAAACGGCGTTAATGATTGTGCGGGGTTATGAGTGCGTTCATCACGCCAGAAACGCACAATAACCAGACGAATGCATCGTCCCTCAAAAACCTCCCCTCCGTCTTGATGATGACGTTGTCTTTCGGAGTCTGCGCGCTGCTAGTTAGCCTCGGCGTACGTCAGACCTGCCCCGCCGTACGTCAGACCCGCCCCGTCGCGCCACTCGTGATTATGTCGGTGCTGATAAGCGGGAGAACTAGGGGGCTCGCTCCCGGCCCCACCATGTATGCCCATCAAGTGAGGACGACCGTGGCGGCGGCCCGCCGGCGGGCGGGCGCGCCTGCGCCGCGGCCCGCCCCTCGCGGCCGGTCACCGCGTGATGCGCATCAGCTCGAGCCGCTCGAGCACGGCCTGGGCGGCCGGCAGGCAGCGGCCGTGCCGCTGGTCGCGGCGCCGTCCGGCCGGGCAGCGGCAGCGGAAGCCGCCGCCGGCCGCCGGCGCCGCCAGCTCGCCGGCCGGGCAGCGCGGCTCGTCGCACGCGCCGGCGGCCTCGTACAGCTTGCGCCCCGCGCCGCGCTGCGCACTGGCACTCGGTCCGGCCGCTCGTCGCGTTGTAGACGAACGTGAGCCGCGCCGGGCACGGGCCGCGCGTGTGCTGTTCGTAACAGCGGCCGTCGGCCGGCCAGTAGTTCTGTGTGAAGTGCTCGGTGCAGCCGCACGCGCCACGGTAGCTGACGCCGCGGAACGCCTCGTACTGCACCAGCTGGCCGGCCGGGCATGGGCCGCGCCGCCCGATCCGGTGGCAGAAGCCGTCGTCGGGGAAGTACAGCTCGCCGCGCTGGCACGGGTTGGCCACGCAGACGGCCTGGTGTGGCGCTCCGGGCCGCGGCGAGGCGAAGCGGCCGCGCGGGCACGGGCCCTGCGTGAAGGCGCGGTGGCAGGCGCCCGTCTCGGGCCGCACCAGGCTGCCGGCCGGGCAGCGGCACTCTGTGCGGCGCGTCGCGTTGTTGAAGGCGAACGTGTTGCCGGGTGGGCACGGGCCGCGCCCGCCCTGCGGAAAGCACTGGCCCGTGCGCGCGTCGTAGTTCTCCAGCATGCGCGCGTGGCAGGCGCATTCAACGACGCCGCGCGTGCTGTTGTAGACGAAGACGAGCCCGTGCGGGCAGGGGCCGCGCGTGTACTCCTGGTAGCAGGAGTCCTGTGTGCGGCCAGTAGCTGCGCGCCATCTGACGGCGGCTGCAGCCGCACTCGGGCTCCAGCGTCAGCCGGTTGAGCGCGAGCAGCTCGCCCTTGCCGCACGGGCCGCGCGTCAGGTGGGCGTGGCAGCGGCCGTCGGCGGGCCAGAAGATCTCGCCCGGCCGGCACTCGGCGAAGCGGCGGCACGTGGCGGCGCCCGACGCCGCGTCCTCGGCGAAGAAGTGTCTCCGTGGGCAGGGACCGCGCGTGTGATGCCGGTAGCAGCGCGCGCTGGCGGCGTGGTGCAGGTGCCCGGCCGGGCAGGCGCAGGCGGGCCGGCCGGCTGACGCGTCCCACACCAGCTCCTGCGTGGCGTCGCACGGGCCGCGCTGGAAGATCGGGTAGCAGCGGCCGTCGGCCGGCCAGCGCACCAGCTGCCAGCTGCGCTCGGAGCACGGGTTCAGCGCGGCGTCCGCCCAGGGCGGCGCGATCACGGAGCCGGCGCGCACCCCGGCGCCGGCCAGCCAGCCGATCAGCAGGCCGGCCAGCCAGGCGGCCGGCGCTCCGGGCATGGCCGCGCCGTCAACGGCCGGCTCGGTGGCGCGCCCCTGAAACGTGCCGGACACTGTGGTTACACGGATGGCGAGAGCACGGGCTCAGGGTGCTCTCTGCGGGACTTCCGGGGAGCTGCCCTCCCCCCCCCCCCTCCCGACGTGTGACGGCCTGCGGGACTTCCGGGAGCTGCTCCCCCTCCGGCATGTGACGGCCTGCGGGCCTTCCGGAGGGCTGCCTTCCCCCACCCCCGGCATGTGACGGCCTGCGGGCCTTCCGGGAGCTGGGGCCTCGGCATGTGATGAGCATCAGTTCACAGAAGTTGACTCAGTTTCCTCAGTGCCTGCGATTTTCTGTCAGTGTGGGACATCGGCCCCGGGCAAGCCTTAATCACCGACGTCCTTGGCTTGTTGCGACCGGCCTGATTTACGTGGACTTGTGCGTCTGTGCGGAAAATTGTCGACGGGGGCCTCCAAGGGCTCCGGTCAGATGCGCTTGGATTGTCAAGTTCCTCATGACGCCGAGTTGTATGACTGATCGGTCGCCCGGAGAGGAAGACGCCATGTTTGCCTGCGGCGGTACGACTGGAACGGACGTAATAGCGAGGTTCAAGGTCTCGCTATTGAGCTATGTGTTTGCAATCTCTGTTCTGTCGGAGCCTTGCTGCAGGGGCTGTCTCCGTGACATTTAAAAGTCTGTAGGGTCAGAGCTGACGGTCGAGTGGCAAAGTCCGTGTCCGTTATTCAGCTGTAGCGGGATTATTCGTGCGATGAATCATGGACCGTTCTTGTGATGACTTGAGATCATTTCAATTCTACTGCAAATTTATACTTTAAAGAATGCGTAACTCATCTTCGTCACTGAAAGCTGTGTTTGAACAGCAAAAGGAAGTCCGATCAAACCGCTCAAGTCGTGAAGAGCATCGCTGGCAAGGCCGTGAGTTTCGGGACGTTGCAATGCACGGTTGGAAAGCTCTTTTTCCTTCAGAAGATTTTCATTCTTGAAAATCCAAGTAAAGATATGCTCTGGAGCAGAAGCAGGCGGGGGGGGGGGGGGGCGTCCAAAGTCCTCTTTGTGTCTAAAATGTGTGGCACACAACGTGCATCTATACCACATGCCAGCGATAGGGCGGGATAGGTTGGCATGTACCTTGGTCTCAGCAGTAAATACTTTGGATCCAGGAATCCAGAGAGGGTGATCGTCCTCTCCCTCCCACTCCCGTCGGGATCTCCAGCCTAATCACAGGTTCCGTTCATCTCCGTGCACGCCACGGCCGCCGCCACCCCTGCTCTTGGCCGCCGGTCCAGGTAAACGACCGATCGGCGGGCGCGGGGCCGGCCTTGAGCTCGGCCTTGGTGCCCTCCGTCTATGGGCGGCCACCAGACGGGCCGCGCGCGGACCGCCGGCGCCCCTGGCCACGCCGGAAGCGGTCAGCCGCGCCAGGTGTGGCCACCGCCGCCGGCTGCTCTGCTGTCGGTGCGAGGGGCGCCGCTCGGGCCGTGGCTGTTGTGGCGCGGCTCGGGCTCCGCCCGTGTTCGCGTCACATGACTCCGAACGCGAGGCCGTCGGTGACCAGTGAGTGGCGGCGAAGCGGCGAACGGCACTTCGGCCATATGTAAATCGTGCTTCTGTTGTGGCGATATAAGGAATTTAGAGCTATTGGGGCTGCACAAACTGCATTGCAGGCTTTGAACACTGGTATTTGGAAACAATGCAGTGCATCCAACTGGGTGCTAAGTGGACCAGCTATATGCCGTTTACCGTCTGTTCATGGAAGCGTGGTAATTCTGCTTGAGGCGACAGAACAAAACGCTTTCACGATTGTCTGCCGCGCCCGACCCGAGCTCCGGTTAGACCTGACGGGTCGACCTGCTTCCCGGCTCTCCGGACCGGGACCACCTCTGCCCGCCGCCGCCGCCCCGGCCGGAGCGGGCCTGGCGTGCCAGGAGCCGACCGGCACCCGCGCTCGGTAGCGACGCTCCGGCCCCGGCTGTCATGCAGGCGATGTCTGCGCTGCGTCTGCTAGTGAAGGCTTGGGATGCTTTCCAGCGATCTGTCACCAGTTTCTCCCATTCGCGGGGGGGGCGTTTTCTTTCCCTGCACGAGAAGCTGGGTGAAAATTGCGTCGGAGGGAATTGAGCGGCGTGAAATTCTCAATTCGCTAGACTATACCGGCTCAGTGGAGGCGCCGGGCCGTGACGAGCTGGCGGATAACAATGAGATGTGCTTCCTTTGTCACGCACTACACTGTGCACGAGTCGGTTCGTGGCTTTTTCTTTTAGTCGATCACCCCACGCCGAAAACAATCGGCCAGATCTAACTCCCGTCGAGTGCACACGGCCGCGTAGCGCCGCGAGATCCGTGCGGCTCCCTCAGCACGCATTGCGTTCGAACCTTGATGGTTGACATAGTTTGAGGCTTGTTGTGAAACACAACTTTCACCAAACGACGTTTTTGGGTGGTGCTGACCTGTGTGGCCATGTCATAAAGATCTTCGGCGTTAGGGACATTTTCTGAAAGCTCGGTTAATTTTCCAACTTCTAAGGCATTTATGATTCTGTCGAACCTTTCGCATGATGCGACTTGACGCCCTGCTATGCCGTGTCTCTAGCCGATGTGCTGTAGGCCAACACAGAACCGAGCGTCCAGTGCAGTACGTCCCCCCCGGGCGGCGGTGGCGGACCGTGCGTGTCCAGCCGGCCCGGCCGCTGTCAGGGGCGGCCCAGCTGTGTGTGCAGCCGGCCTAGCCAGATGGCCGCCGTTTCTCCGAGCGGCGTCACGTTTCTCCGGCGGCAGCAGACGCGGTGACTCGCGGCGCGCCGTGGGCAGGAGCGGTGACGTCTCTGGAGGGGACCGGGGACGGCTAGCGACGCGCTGGGGGCAGGAGCGGGGACGTCTCTGGACGGAACCGGGGACGACTAGCGACGCGCCGGGGGCAGGAGCGGGGACGTCTCTGGACGGAACCGGGGACGACTAGCGACGCGCCGGGGGCAGGAGCGGGGACGTCTCTGGACGGAACCGGGGACGACTAGCGACGCGCCGGGGGCAGGAGCGGGGACGTCTCTGGAGGAGACCGGGGACGACTCGGCGGGACGCGCCGGCTGAGGGATCGCAGTGGCCCTGGGGCGGCATTGGGGATGACGATGGAGGTACTGAACTGACACTGTTACAAACTGGCTAAGGAGGGGGCACATGGTAATTGCAAGTCAGTTGTTCCATTACCTCGCTCACAGACCAAATGTAAAGAGTGACATCACTTCCTTGAGGCATCCACAAATATGTTGAAAAGTCCATCCATTGGGCGCGGGTAGTGGCAACACTCTTCGAAGCCGAAGCGAGTGTGCGGGAGGGCTATGGACGACACTGAGCGCAGGCTCGTGACATGACCGGGTCATCCTGCGCTGACCAGGCAGGCGCAGCCTCTCCGGACATCAGCAGTGTTGGGCAGCTAGCAGTGGTTGAGTGGCACGTTCGGTGCGATGGACGCTCACTGAAGGAGCACGAAGCAGTGAAGGAGCTCAAAGAGCTCAAAACAAAATCACCGGAAGCTGCGCATCTGTGAACGGGCACGTGGTGTACACACATGCGCAGTTTGTGAATGAAGTTAACGAGGTCGGTCGGTTCATCCCGACCTCCGCGCCCCGTCCAATCGTCGACGTCTGCGTCGCCGCTGTTGTCCTTGACCCCCAGCCGCCGCGCCAGTGCGTGGCTCCGTCAACGAGACTGATTCGATGATGGGGCAGAGGGCACGCGCTGCGTAGCGGGCCGGGTCGAGGCCGGCGGGACGTCGGCCGCGGCGGCGTGGCGTCGGGGTGATCTAGCAGTTTGTCCCGATTGCTGGCGGCGGGGTGTCCCGCCCTTCAAAACGCACGAGCGAGTGACGGCCGCTGTCGGCGGTCCGATGTAGGTCACTGACAGCGGGCGGCAAGGTCACTGTCGGCCGACGTCGAAGGGTCACGGGCAGCGTCGAGGGGGAAGGCCGGAGAGGGGTTAGGCGACGGTGGTGACTCGCGGCCGGCGAGAGGACTGTGGGCGCGTGGAAGGGGGTCTCTGAGTATGGCGTGGGAGGCGGAGGTCAGGTTCGTTGGAGCTGTGAACAACGCCGGTACGGCTGCCTGATGGCAGAACGTCGGTACAACCGCACCAACCTTCCACACGCATGGAAATCACCAGATAGCTATTGCGTTAGGCAAAGACCAGATCGACTTCGTGATGTTCTCGCTCACGGGGCCTTTGTGAGATAATATTGCATCACTTGGTCCGCTGACTGGCAGATGCTGGCCTCCGTCCACAAAGGCCACCCTAGACCTCCAAACTGTAGACTGGACCCCTGGGCAATTAATCCATCATATGGCAACTGATAGGCAAAATACGTGATGTCAGTGACGTGCTTAAGGTCCGTACATAGAACCAGCTCCCGGCTGAAACCCGGTTTTGTTGAAGCAAGCGCCTGTCGGTACGGTAGTGTTCCCCCAGCAGATGATGTTCCGCGCCAATCGGTGCAGATATTGAATGCGACTGCGACGTACTGGGCCCGCTAAGGCGGCCAAGGCCCACATCATATAGATACTGATAGGAGCAGCGTCCTCAGCAGTGGAGCGTGTCATGTGAGCGAGGCTCTCGCCGCATTTGTCGGTGGCACTCAATGTATGTGGACCGTCGTCGCCTTACGCGTACGGCTGACACTCAACGTGTCGTGTCAAAACGCTCCGTAAAGTGGGCTCGAGGTAGGCGCCAAGTGTTTCGAGATAAGTGCTGAAATGACCAAGGAGCTCCGCGCGTAGTCAGCGTCGCGGCGAGATGCCGCAGATTGGGATTTGTACGCTCTACTGCGAACTACGACGCCTGTAATCTCCAACTTGTGCTCGCCATCATTGCCGGGCTTGTTTTCCCTATTCTCCACCGCACGCTCACTGCCGCATCCACGGCTGATGCC